AGTCATCAAAGAAGAGATGATGATTAGCCAAAGTCCTAAGATATTTTGTAGAATTATCAGGTATAAATGATAATAGCAAAATACAAGTTGAACAAAACAAAACCCTCACCAAAGAAAGTTAATCTATGGAAAAGTTTCTTTTAATGTTGTAATTAAAGATTGATTGATTTGTTTTTTTATAGCTTATCAACCTTTGTAGGTTATTTAAAGCCAGAAAATATTTTTAGACTGTAAGAAATTTTTGGTGATAATGATTTACTGATATAAGTACTACTAATTTATCCATAGCTGGGATGGAGGAGAGAGCTGGATTCATACCTTTCTTAAGGGTATTTGTGTGTAAGTGAATATAACAAATCTGACTGAAATTGGAACTTGAGACTCTGATTTCCAATTCCAAGCCATTATCCATTATGCCATCTGCACATCCAAGCTTATAGCACCTGCTATTACCAAGCAGTCACCCATCTAGGTACTGACCAGGTTCAATGTTGCTTAACTTTGGTGATACAATTAAAGAAACAGCTAAAAAGATAGAATAACCACAAAAATAATAAGTATACATAAACTGATTGATTTATTTTTTACAGTTTATCAACCCCTTGTATATTATTTAAAGCTGAAATATATTTTGCGCTCTAAGAATAATTATTTTTTTATGAGCGAACATTGCATTAACAATTTTTTTTTAAGAATAACAATAATTTTTCCAGATACACGGCCTACTATTTAACCCATAGCTGGAGGAATAAAAGGGATTCATACCTTTCTCAAGGCTATTTGTGTGTAAGTGAATGTAACAAACTTGACTGGAATTCAAACTCAGTTCTTTGATTTCTCATTCCAAGCCATTATCCATTACGCCACCTGCACATCCAAGTATACAGAAAAACAAGTATTTAGTTATGAAAGAAATGGGAATACAACACACTCACATATAAAGGGGGTGCTTCCCAAAATCTGACCAAGTGACCAAACATCAGACTTTTTAGGAATGGGCTTCTTGGTTGGGTCAAGAATTTTTCAGCACCCCTTCATAGATATCATATGCTGTGTATTTTCTAGATGTTATCAATAGCATTTATGTTTTTGTTGTAATGAAACAAATCAGGCAATTTCTGTGACCACATTACCCCTGACATTTGGCCACCTAACTCCCAAGACTGCAACCACCTTGATTATTATGTGTGGGGTGCAGTTAAGTGAGACACGGACAAAACTCCTTGTAACACCAAAGATGAACTAAAAGCAAGGCTTATGGCAGCATTCACCAACTTAAACAAGGAGACTGTCCAGAAGAGTTGTAGGAAATTCCAAAGTCATCTGGAGGCTGTGGTTGAAGTCAATGACGATTTTATTGAATAAATCTACTCTTTAGTATTTCAAGATATTTTTGTGTCATTTGGACAACAATTTAACCCTCACCCACTGTATAAGCATCCTTTTTGTTTCCACTTCCCTTAAAACTTCCTCGTTACTCATATGCTCAGCATCCTTCTGTAGAAACACATTTTTGTTGCCACTAGTCTCTTCTTCCTCTGTGAGGAAATTATCCATCATTCACTGTCATAGAGGAGGACTTATACTACATAACAGTTTTGTACTTTCTTTGTTTCTAAGAATAAGTAACCAGTAAACCTAGAAAAATACTATGAGTGAAGTGAATCTGTATTTGGTTGAATACAATAAACACTTAAACATCAAAACATGTCTTGTATTTGTATCAATTTTGGGAGAAAAATACAAAATCTATGGGACAATAGGATTAAAGACTTGGTTCATGAATTTGGTGATATAGTAATTGTGAGTTCAATCCCTGTGATAGGGCAATGGAAATGGGGCGAGCAATAACTGAGCAGTACTCAAAATAAGAACTAAACAAAATATCCCTAGACATGGGCAGTGGAATGAGAACAATCTAGCCCTGTAGATTAAATAAAGGGTTCCGTTCAGAATTCCTTGTAGGTTACCTGGATCAAAATACACCTGATGTAAGCCAGAGTTCACAACAGCCAAAATGTTGTGATAAAAACAACAAAAATGAGGACAACTGTCCTAATATGAATAGCATAAATTTTGATAATTCCTCATTCAAGAAATTCAGACAGAGATACTGTTTTTATTGCCAAGAAAAAATAAAAATGCTTTATAGTTTATTACAAATGAAAAACAGTCATTTGCCATTTCTTTCATTGGATTTGTTCAGACTTACTTACCTTTTTCAATGTATTTATTTGTAAAGGATTTGGTTAATACTCTGATATTAGTATGTGTGATATGAGTTTTTATTTTCATATCTTTCTGAAAAGTATTAGCATAAAAACCAAACTTAGTAAAATATTACCAGAATTATTACCTGCCATTGCTACCTTAAAGTGATATATTAGAACATGAAGAAATTATACATTATTAGAGATTAAAGAATAAAAATATACCCATTTTATTTTACAGAATGACTTCTGGAATACTTCTGTCTGCAAGAATTTTTGACATCCAAATTTAGAACCAGGTATAAAATTAAAATGTAATTTCCTTTATTTATCAGTCACACAGCCTGTTCTCCCTATTTTTTTTATAATGAGATATTTTGTTATTATAGTAACAGGAGACTAATAAATGAAGTGGCCTTGTGTTAACAATATATCAATGAAATATCTCATTAGTAAGTAGAGGAGATTATGCCAATACATTGCTTTTTGTCTTGTGCTAGTTTTCTTTGGATATTTTTTAATTTTAATGGTTTAAAAACCAGAATTCTTTCTTACATTTGAAAACTGAACAAAGTTGAAAAACTTATCTTACCCATAAAGAAAATATAAACAATGCAATTACAAAATGGACTTAAATATTACAACTATTTTTTGTCAGTACACACAAACTGGAAACTGGTAGACTTAAGAAAGATGTGGAATAATGCTAATGACTCATCTCAGAATTTCTTAATGTCAATCTTAGAAAATTAATAATCTTAATATTAGTGCAATTGTGTTTGAACAAATTTCATGGAGATTTCCATAAATAAAAATTAAAGTAAATAAAAGAATCAATTTTTGTTGGATTGAAATTTGGAACAATGAGTAGAAAAAATAAAGATCAAAAATTTACCCAATAAATCAGAAAAATGCTTGGACTGGAAAAAAAGATTCTTTCATTTTCAGGAAACTTTTTATGGCCTTGTTGCAGACTAAGTTTATTAAACATTTTAAATACATAAAATACATTTCATAAATACATTTCATAAAGTGCCTGTGTGTGCATGGAAATATGACATTTTTCATTAATTACCAAGGTAATAATTATTGAACTAAGAACAATTAGGTATTTTTTTTTAATATTACTTAAAAGAAATATTCTTTAAAACAACCATTTATAAAAAGAAAATTTATTTCTTGGCAAGGAATACTTGACTATTCTGAAAAAGAATAAAACTACCATTTGCAATAGTAGAGCTTTTGTGGTCAATAATTTACATGCAAGCCCCAAACTAATAATAAATTTAATGCTATAATAATAATAATACAATGTGCAACAGAAGAAAATTTTACAATTTAAATGATTTTTAGAAGTTATGTGAATGCAAAAGCACAATAACAAGGTAGAAAAATGCTTTTCAACAGAACAAATTCAAACAATATAAATCAACATTTTCTTTTTCTAAAATGAAAACAATAAAAGAGAACAGAAAAGAAAAGCCCCAAAATGTCTCTTAAAATATATCAATGAACATTCATCATACAGATTTAGTTTTAGCTGTAAACAGTGAGAAATTCTATTTCTAATATTTGTTTTATCATCCTTACTGAGAAAGGGACATAAATTTATCATCCTTACTGAGAAAGGGACATAAATGACAATGTTTGTTTGCTTTTAGTGCTGAGAGATGAAACCCACAAAAAGACATGCTTACTAGTGGTGCCAAATCAATAATGGTCGGCACTATTGTCTGCAAATTTTTTTTATATTCAAATAACTTCTTTTACTTTCCACTATGTTTGCTTTATTTTGTATTAAGTGATTGTTCACCAAAATGCCAGCTGTGGGGCAGAACTTCAGCATGATCCTAAACAGATCTCAGTTTCATGAATCAGGAAATAATATTATTAAGTGGGTGCATAATTTTATTATCCTATTAAGTTGAGCAGAATTTGCTCATCCAATTTTTCTTATTATTTCACAAATTATACAAACTTGATGAAAAAACACCCATCCAAAAGTATACTTAGATTTCCAGGGCATTAAAAAAGCAATGTAGCTATTCTTTAAAGTTTCATAGACATAAACATACATATTATATAGGTTTTTGCATACAGGTGGCTGAAGTCATTCACCAGTTGTTCACTCTCAGCTGGAACACCTGTATGTTACTCCAAGATATTTGAAGTAAGGTAGAACCAGGTATCTCCATCCAGTAGATAACTTGTTTGACAGAAAGTTTGAAAAGAATAATAGAGAAAATGTTTGAAAAAAATAATACACATCCCATCACATTTAAATCTATTAGGATTGTTAAAAATGCTACATTTTTTTCAGATTCTATACAAACGAATGAACTTTCTAGCCAAGTGATTCTATAAAATCATTACCAGAAAAAAATGAAGTAAAACTAAAAGATTGAGAGAATGACAAGAAAGATTTTCAAATTCACTGGAAAATTTCAAGTGTTGCTAGAGAAATTTCACAAATGCTAGATAATTGCTTTGAAATTTTCAAAATAGCTAAGTTCAAATGACAGGTTTAAAAGATAGTGAAAGGATTACAGTGGAGATTAAGAAAAATTGCAAGAAGAAGATAAAAAATTTCTGTGGCAGATTAAAGATTACAGAATTACTAAAAGATAATTGTTAGAATTCATTTTTCTTCACACATAGTCCTAAATCAACAGAGAAAAATATCTTTCAAGTCCGACCAAGTTTGTGATTCTTAAACAAAATAAACAAACCAATTGCTAAAATATATCTCCCTCTCTGGGGATTAAATATGAACATTTTTCAAATACTTACATTTCATTTTGCTGAAATCCAATGACGTCTCCCTGATACTGAAATCAGCTTGGAATGGAGCAATTTGTTCTCTTAAAATCAGCAAATGCTTAATCATAAACATTTGACCATCAAGAAGTGCCTTAAAAAAAAGAAAAAAAAACCCCACATTTCTTAAAACTGTTGCAATATGAGTAAGCTGAGTAATTGAAAACAGCAGGACCTGTTGCCAGAGTGGATACGGGACATTTACTTTCGACGGATGCTTATCAGTAAGTGATGTCAACTTCAAAGTACAGAGAAAGAGGCTCAAACAGAAAGAAAGTCACAGAAGGAAGATAAATTACGATTTTAGACAAAGATGACTAGACAAAGAAAATGGTTATCTTTAAAACTGGCTGTCCCATGAAAAGGTATACAGAAGGGATGAAGTGGGCCTCAGACAGAGTAGACAGCCGCTGGACTATGCACTACACTCCTCCCTATGCCTCATCTCTACTTTGCTCGCTTATAGCAGTAGGTTACAACCCAAGACTAAAATCTGGTTTACTTCTAGAAATTGTTTTGATTTTCATTCACGGGTAACAATCTGGCCAAGGGTAATTCTTAAGCCACAAGCATTTAACTGAAAGAAACTGAACCCTGTCAACGAACTTGGTGTCTGGTCTGAGTTGCAACGCAACAATACTTTTTATAAGGAGCATATATATTTGCTAGCTTTAGCCAACTTTGGTACAAATCACATTTTTAAAACAGTCTGTGAGAATCAAACTTACTCTTAATAGTTTGTGAGATCAGCATTACTTTGGGTTACCATGACAACTCTTAAAAAGCAAATAGCTGGCTTCATGGCTTAGATAGTTGCATAGTCAAGATTTTGTATACTAATTTTTAAGGCACTTAAAAAATTAGCACAACACAATCTTCCTACTCTTATTTGGCCTTTAATAGGTGTTTAGTAAAGTTGAAAAGTAAAAAAAAACATATCAAAATGAATTAAAAGAGCTAACAAACAGATCTACTTATGGTGGGATTTTCTAAGTTATTTAACTTCTTTTTTCACAACAGAAGACACAAAGAAAAAAAAGAATGCATGTTATATTTAATATGAGTTTTGGGGCGGGGAAGTGATGAACTATTGACTGTTTCAATATTAAAATCTTGATCCAATTCTTACTTTACGTTTAATGATTCCTTCTTTGGCAACCAATAAACTCTGAATGCAAGACTGAAGAGCTTCTTGGGAAAGGCCTTGAAATGTGGTGCGCTAAACAAGAAGAAAAAAAACATTAATAGATTATTTCAAATTTCTGAGCATCAGATTCTGTGTGTGTGTGTGTGTGTTTGTTAAGAAAAGGATATTGTATCATTTTTTTAAACTCTTTCTCAAAATACTTTTTCTAAGCTTTGTTTGTTTCTCTTTTGTTTTGTTACCACAATGTTTCAGTCTATTCTAAAAACTTCTTCAGATGTATAATTTATAGGGAAACAGAGAAGTTTACTATGACATCAGATGATGTTAGAAAATGGTCACTAATGTCCAACTGGATCTGTTTATTCCAGCAATGCAACATAGACAGAAAATATCATTTACCACAACCCATTAACAGAGAGAAAATAGCAATTGGGAAGTTCCGATTAAAAAAAAAATAAAAAATCCAGGGTCATAATTGTAAGGTCATAAATCAGTCTTGCAAGTCAAAATTCAAAAATTTGTGTCCTAAACTCACAATGAACAACTACCTTCTTCACCCACAAAGAACCAATAAATCCGTCTGTTGTCCAAAGTAGCATTTTTTTATTGGAGTAAGAAAGGTTGGGATTGGTTGAAACTGGTAGGAAAGTGTAAAAAATTACCAAATATCATGACTTATTGAATTCAACCCAATCTTCTGATTTTCTTTTTTGACAGCATAGAGAACACAAATTCTTTTTTCAAGCTAAGTCTTTGTATACTCTTTCGTCTACACCATAACTGAGGTAGACAAACATACACGCACACCAAAACTGTCCTGATTTATGCAATTAGCTAATAAACCAATATATATGACCTTCTTCAATTTTCTCACTCTCCAGTGGTGTGTTTCCTTTCAACTATCTGCACTACTGTGTATAATGAGAAGCATCTTAATTACATGGGTGCCAATGAATTGTATCATTTATATATCTCTTGCTGCTGGAATGAAATGATCCAGTTGCCATGTTAGTGACTATCTTCTGTAACTAAATTATAACAAAAAGTGATCCCTCTTTTTCTTATGGATTATATAGCTAAAGAAGGATGGGGGAATGAATGGATTGGCTGACACAATTTGGTAACAGCACAAAAGAATTCAGTTATCTGTCCCAAACTTAGAATGTTAAAGATTTTTCTGAAAGTTAAAGACATTATACTATTTTCTTTTGTTTCAAAGTTTGAAAACTCTTTCAAAGCAGAAGTTCACAGTTTTGTTACAGATTTTTATTTTTAATACTAAAAGTGTTTAATATGCAGCTTATTAAATCTATTTGTTCATATATGAAAAGAAACTTTTGGAATAGCTATACATATTGCTTGTCAGAAAATGGTTATTAAATCATTGTTTGGCTTGCACATAAAAGATACTTTGCTCTTTTTATTAAATGAGCAGTGACTAAATTTAAAATAATTAAAATATTTATCTGTTCCATAATTTATCCATAAACTGTATTATTGATTAAAAAGTGAAAATTGTTTTTACAGGAAGCAAACTCTACAAAGTATGTCATTTTGTTAATTAAAAATAATAAACATTTCTAGATTCTTTATTTATTTATTATTTTTACACACAGTTGTTTAGGAAAGAATTGTAAGAAAATAGAAAAGATACCAAACTTACATCAATGCATCTGTACAGTTTAGATAATGTAACTAAAGTTCGACGGACAGTTGGATACCACATACCATGGAGGTCAGCAGGAGACATAGGCATACTTGATGCATTTGTATCTGGGAGAAATAAAACCCAACAAAATATCAATAACATTCAAGATTTAATTCCAATGATGCAAAAATCATTCTAATGATGTTACATGTTATGATAGACATGGGAACTGTAAAAAGACCTGATGTATATGATATGGAAAAACAGATGGAAAGAGTCATATAAAAACAAAATATTCATGTTTACTGAGGATAGATGAAATAAAAGCATTGGATTTTTAATAACAAGAAAAAACCATTAGGAAGTATTTTCTCAGTTTTTATGCTCTCAGTATAAACCTTCAATAAAAATATTCCATCATTTCCTGTGATCCCTTATATAAGGCACTACATGTTCTGGTTCTATGAGACAGACTTAATCCTATTTACTTCTATTTACCCAAATGACATAACACTTGCTAGTTAATGTATATGCAAGAAAGAACACACAAAATTTTAATCACTAATATAACTCTCAACAATAGATTTACAATTAACCAAACCATATGATTTTAATAACCAGTGGAAGTAAATAAATATTCACTTTAGCTTTTAACTTTTCTTCTCTTTATTTCTTACCTGCCCAAGTCCTAAATACTTGACATGATTTGGATTGTAACCCAACTTGGAAATTATACATTATCCTACTATATTTACACACCATCACAGTGCCCACTGATTGTGATTATCAGCCTAACATTCTATAGAAACATGGGTTCCTACCCACCACTAAGTATATATGTTTTCAAGAAACCTTAGTAACACAGAATAATTCACTGATTTTCATAGGAGTTTTTGCATTAACTACAAATGAACCAATCAAATTAAATATTTTAAATCTCATTCGATTAATGATTCTAGATGAGATGAGGTAATCTACTTTTTTAGCCATTAAGTATTACTGATATTACAATAATCCAACTTGTGCATGTTTGTGTGTTTGTCATGATAATGCAATAGCCCATCATAGCACTGCTTTTGTTAATGCAATATCATTAAAATGATCTAATTTGGAGAATAAAGTGATTACGAATTCATTTGGCCACTGGTTTCTGAGTAAGTTTTAATTAAGTATAAACTAACAATAAAATATCTTTCTAAGGAGGATAACTCAAAATCTTTTCCATGAGTTTTCTTAATAAGAAAATAAGAGACATAAACAGGGAAGAATCCTTGACTTGTCTATACTCTTCTCCATCAGCAATACTAGCATATTAATGATTATTTTAATAATAAAGCATGACAATAATTAATATTTGCAAATAAGTTCTATAGATAGAAATTGACTGGACATCAAGCAGAAATGGCATTTAAGTGAGTGCAAATTTTAAAAAAGATAGAAAGTGAATTGTTAGTAAGACAACATGGAGGATAGCAATGAAGACTTTGATGGCAAGGATAATAAAAATAGACATAAAGGTAAATAATAAAGAACAGAAACTTCTTCTTTCTAGGATCCCCAGAAATTTATTTTCAATGCTTTACTTTTTAACTCAGCAAAAAGTTGAAAACAGAAAGACTGTGAAGATAAATTTGATCCTTAGACATTCAAACTTGTCATCAAACATCAAATCATACAAAGTGACCAATTCATCATGATTAATTGGCAGAATGCTAGATTAAATAGTTGGTTCTATTTTCATTTCTTATGTTTACATCACATACCATGTTCAGTAATCCTCTACTTTGAGTGGCTCTTAAGCCTTGTTTTGCATGAACTTTATTTAAAAAAAAAAAAAACATGACCAAACATCATAATTTTATTTAATCCTTTTTTGGTTAGATTGAGAATTTTTCAGCACCCTTATGTATAAATAACACCAATTTATAATAAATCTAGGTTCAGATTTCTTTAGTTGAACAACTATAGAAAACTCTTTAGTAGTGCCATAAATAGGTAAGAGATTTAAGAAAACTAGAAAACTGGCAAAACAATGTATGGTTAAAATAAATGAGTAAAAGTACCAGTACAATTAGTGTTTGTCTATATTTCTGAGATGAGGTATTATGTACATTATTTTCCTCAAGGACACATGGCATAGTGGATAAAGGTGTTAGATCCAGTGACAGGACCCAAAGAGTGTGAGTTCAATACCTGGCTAAGGCAGTGGAGAACTTTCAGAGGGAAAATTAACAGGAGATAACTGATAACTGACATCGATTAAACATGGCATGTGGAACTAGAACTGTCTACCCCAGCAAGTGAAATAAAGGGTTCAGTTCGACATTCCAACCACCTGAAGAAGGCTGGAGTGTACAACAGCCGAAACATTGTAATAAATATGGTGACAAAGATGAGAACAATAGTCCGAATAATGTACAATTAGTTTTCTTTGAAATCTTGTTTTGGTAACACTACATGAAACAATCACAATTCCAGCCTTCATCAAAATAATACATGACTTCTTTCAAAAGACCATATTTTTTGCTAGAAACCACATGGATAAGAACAACCATTTTTAAGTGCTACATGAATTTGTAAACACACACACACACACACACACATTAATCTCATTGTTAGGTGAATCATGCTACAAATTAATGATGCAATAAAATTCCAAATCTATTCTCACCCATATTAAATGGTACTGTATCTGTGATGGAACTCTCTTCTCCCTCTTTGATTTCATTTCCAATGTCTCCTGCTGTTATCTGTGCCACTTCCAGGCTTGTACTTGAAGCATTTGAAGCATTACGTGAATGTCCTTTGTCTTTTCTGATATTTTCAGAAATACTCTTCCAGAAGAAAATCAAAAGGATTTGTTTAGTTAAAAGACAAAATTTTTTTAAAGTTGTTCATTTTGAATTAAACTCATTACTTTAGTTACAATAGAAATCTTAGAAAACATTAAAAACAGTCAGTATAAAATACGTATTTTAAAAAAATTATTTAATTAAATTTTATCAGTAGCTAAATTGTTTAAAATATAGCACAAATTAAATTGAATATTAATATCATAGAGAACAATTTCAACATAAAATAGATTACTTTGTTTTTATGGTTTATCAACCCTTTTCAACATAAAAATGTAGCAGAATAAAATTATGAAAATTAAACTTAAATACCTTATTTATAATACAATGTCCTGTCCTTTTAGGTTCTTATGTCTTACAAAATATGTGATACCCATCTTAAAATCAAACTAATTCTGCACAGCAAAGGCTTTTATCTATTTGCCTATATATATATATATATATATATATATATATATATATCAATATCAAGTAGAGAGGAAGACATCAAAAAAAGTGTATCAAAAATACTTTTACAAATTTTGGGGGCAGGTTCCTCACATCAAAACAAGGACAAAGTCCATATAAATGTATGTTCACAAATTGTTTGTTTTTAAGTTATTAAATTTAAAGTTTATGGTAGACGTTGTCAAATGTACAATCCAATATACAATTCAAAAATACTTTCACAAAATTTGCAGGTGGGTTCCTGACACCAAAACAAGGTAAAATGTCCATATAAATAGATGCCCAAAAGGCTATCATTGTACCTCGGCACAGCAACTCATACCAAATGTTCAAAATGTCTTCCGCTTGCTTCTCCACACACATGCACTCATTGTATCATTGAATGGAGGAACCCTTTCATATACTTCCACATATGGTGTCAAATGGTTTTGCTGACCCCCATGACATGTTAGTGAAGTATCTCTGCATTATTAATGTCTACTGCATAAACCAATTGTTTTAGGTGACCCCAATGATACAAATTCAAAGGATTGAGGTCAGGGGAACATGCAGGCCATGGAACCAGCCCTCTCCTACCTATCCATCTTTCATGGTAGATATCAGTCAGCACATCACGAACAATGTGACTAAAATGTGCTGGAGCCTTGTCATGCATGAACCATATGCGCCTTTGTATTAGCAGGTGTACACCCACTAACAGATCTGGAATTTTTTAAATAAAGTTCCTGTAGACAGCTCCTGTAAGACATGTTGGAAGAGCATATGGACTTATCAGTCACCTACAATTCCAACCCACACATTAATCGTAAACTGATGCTGGTGTCTAGCCTATATTATACCATGGGGATTCCGATCCACCTACAAATGTTGGTTGTGTAAATTTGATATTCCATCTTTTCCAAATGTGGCTTCATCTGTAAATAAGACTGAGGAGACAAACAACAGACCGGCAGTTTGTGCAATAAACCATCGGCAAAAGTTCTTCCATGGTGAGTGATCAGAGGGCTAAAGACTCTGCACACTATTGTAAATGATACGGATACAGGAGCTGATCGTCAAGTACCCTCCATGTGGTACTATGAGATGTACAACATACTAAGGTCCACTTGACATGTGCTGATACCTATATCATTTCTGACAGACTGTAGAATGTGTTCTTTCTTGTCAGGCATATGAGCGGATCACAGTCTTCCTTGATTGAAAGTTTGTGGTGCAACAGATCCTGTTTCAGCAACACAACAATAAACAGCAGCATAGGTTAGATGACTCAGCTGCCTTTAGTCTGGAAACACAATCTTATACAGCTGTGCAGCCTCGCATCCATTACCATTTATGAGGTTGTATGTAAAAAATCATATGTGCCGACTCACAATATGAATATCCTGCCATTGTTAAACAGAACACTTCTCTGTTAACTCACTACCACACACATTAAACGTTGTAGATTAGCCACAAATGTGAGGTCAACACCGAGTGGCGACAGTCTGTTTCACACTTGAATGAAATCTTCAGGCCATAAAGATTGCATACAAGCATGAAACAGATCATTGCCACTCAGTGTTGACCTCAGTGTCCACTCTTATATTTACACTTGCTCTATCCCTGATATTGAGCACTTATACTTATAGATATAGCATACCTTAAAACTATATTTTTATCACACACACACACACACACACACACATACATACATACATATATATATATGTGTATATCTTTCATTAAATATGGTAGACAAGGGGGGATTTAATTAATTTTTATTTTTTCCAGCATCCTTACAGTTTTCCGTGTTGTAGGCATAAGGGAAATTTTCCATAACAGAAATTTTCCATAACTTTCATTGTCCCAAGCGCTTTTAGCCACAGCTTTAGCCATTTTCAAGGGGATTTTGTTTTTGGTGTTGTTAGTTTTTCCTCGTTTTTTGACTGTTTAAGTTGTAATTTTTATTTTTGTGTTGTTTTGAATAGAATCATTTATTCCAAGACTCCACATGTTGAGGGTGGCTGGAATTCAGGTGAGCATCTTTCAATTTTTAAAAATCTTTTAACACTCCATTTCCACTGTTAAATAAGGTGAAGTTAATAGTAGAAGAGAGATGTTTAATATACAGTGCCTCTCTAATAGCAAGATGCTTCCAGTAATGTAATGTGTTTTTAACCAGAATTATTCTTAAGGGTTCTTGTAAATTGTGGGTTGATAGATGTTTTTTATAGCACTTTGATCTGATAAGTGACATGTGAGGCACATATTCTAGGAGGTGGTAGTATGACTGATATAGTTAAATGATTTGTGACAAGAAACACAGTCTTGTACTGGGCAGTGAAATTGATACATTATATTGGTCATTGCTAGTCTAGATTTAGATGGGGTTATTTTGATTAGTAACAACAATGTTTACAGGTTTCCATATATGTGTGTGTATGTTTGGTTTTGTTTGGTTTATTTTGTTTTACAGCATATCAACCTCATTGGGTTATTTAATGCTGACAACATTTTTATTGCAGGTAATATTTTGTTTTATCAAAAATCTGTTTCTGGTAATATTTTTCCTTCAAAATTGTATTGCTGGTAATAATTTTTTTCAAAAAAGTATTGCTGGTAATAGTTAACTGTTTGCCCATAGTTGGGACTCCAGCTGATGCTACCACCCCAGGTCAGGGTGGACCTGGAAACACCAGCAATTAAGAGGTTGTTCCATGCTCCTCAAAACCTTCTGATTCGAGGCCTTGCTGTTGGACGTAGTTTATCGTCTTACCCAAGACACGGATGTAGTTTAACGTCTTACCCAGGACAAATATATGTATGTATGTATGTATGTATGTATGCATTATGTGTGTGCTGAAATAAGTCCCACATTATCAATAGTAGATAAAAAAGAGAAGAGGATGTTCTTTTGAAATAATGACTTAAGAGTAACAATTCATTTGTAATGCAGTAATTATAATGCTTGTCTTGTAAGTCATTGTTAATAAACTTGACTAATTTGGTATTATATAAATATTCTTTTAATATACATCATTTAACAAATCAAATTATATCTAAATACAAAAGGGTGATAACAGAAAAAGAACAAACGTTGAGGTATTAGAGCCACTTCACAAATAATGTAACGAGACACACCTGTAATTAATACATACCTACATGCCCGTGTGTGTGTGCATGCTTGTAATTATTGCCTTTATAAAAAGTTGTTTTCAACTCAACCCTTTTGAATTTTAAGAACTGGTTGCAATAGATAACTAATAATTATTGTTCAGTATTTAACTTTCTTAGCTATTCTACCAAAATCTACCAAAAAAAATAGAACAACTTACTTCCATCATTTCCAGTTTCTCTGGATAAGCCAAATCTCCAGAAGCTGCTTTGTACATGAAAATGTCATTTTTTATGTAGATATAAGTACGATAAACAAGACGCTCCTGTACATCCATTAACATTTGTCCACAGATGTTCTCAAAAGCCTTCAATTCCTGAGCTGATTTAAAAAAAAAAAACAACAAAAATTAAAATTCTAAAAAATCATTAACAAAATCTTTTTCTCTTCTTTTTCATTCAAAACTTTCATTAAAAACCAAGTATTTCACATTTCTGAGATGGTCATTTTTTTTCATATTTTCTTCATCGTTTTGCTTTTTATTTATCCCAACATTCTAGTTTATATGCCCATCTGACTATTAAAGTAAGTAGCATGGTGGGTAGAGACAGTTTCATAGAACTACTGAGTGTTGTGATATTGGCAAGTTCTGATGTGTGTATGTGTTTTTTTAATATACATTTGAGGAACTGGGCTCGTAAATTATAATTATTTTCATTTATAGATGTTTGTTTTTTTTTGTATGAGTATTGCTTCAGGGATCATAAATCTGTTTTCACTATTTGATTCTGCCAGTATTTTGGTGGTGTTTGTTAGTAGCTGTCTAATGTTACTATGATCCTTATTCAATTTATTAATGTGTTGTCTGATGGGACTGTCTGCAATGAACTTTGGACAATTTCTGACACAGAATTTCCTCCTTATCTGAGAAGGATTATTTGAAATTTTGAAGTCAATCAATAAAATTAATTGACAAAAATTGTTTGTTGCCTTAAAGAATATTTGCTATCTAAATACACAGAATATATATATATATATATATATATATATATTTATATATTCTGTGTATTTAGGCAGCAAATACTATATATATATATATATATATATATCCATCAACGCAAGACAAGAAAGAATAGAGTACACTTCCAATGTTCATAACATTTAATTTAAAAGAGAGCTCAATACATAGTAGAGCAATATTATTTATTTTAGGATATTACAACAAAAACATGTTACAATCACTAAAAGTAACCCTCTTAGTAAAATATTTTACTAAGTGGGTTACTTTTAGGAAATTCATTCAAGAACCATCAAGAGAACGGTGAATAAGTTTAAAAAAGAGGAAACAGTAGAGAGGAAATCTAGATCAGAGGAGATCACAACAGGAAGAGGGATCATCATTTCAACTTAGAGATGAAGAGGTCAATTAGAAAAGATCCAACTCAATTCAGACGTTTGGCACGTGAGAGAGAAGTTTCAGCTATGACAGTCCAATGACCAGTGAAAAAAGTCTTGAAAATAGTATCTTCAGTATACTTCTGTAGAACCACATCTCTCTCTCTCTCTCTATATATATATATATATACTGGGTGTAACAGCATAATTTCCCATCCCACAAAAGGTTTAATATCTATGAAAACTACTAAACTAATTGAGTTTCTTTTTTACAGGTTTTCAGATGACTTTTAACCATCTTAATACGATTTGTTCTAAGAATCACTGAAAAACCCTTTGAGTAAATCAGCTAGAAAGAGAACAGGTTAAAATCGTTTTGTGTCAGCATCCACTGTCTTCTCAACTAAGCAATGGTGAGAGGAAAAAGATCATTCAGGCCTTCAGTAATGGTACCAACATTCATACTCTGGCTTTCAAGAACCATCAAGAGAACGGTGAATACGTTTAAAAAAGAGGAAACAGTAGAGAGGAAATCTAGATCAGAGGAGATCACAACAGGAAGAGGGATCATCATTTCAACTTAGAGCTAAAAAGATCAATTAGAAAAGATGCAACTTAATCCATAAGACATTTGGCATGTTAGAGAGGAATTTCATCTATGACAGTCCAAGAGCTGTGAAAAAGGAATTGAAAATGAAATCGTACATGAAACCTGTGAAGCAACTTGTTACTCCAAGACAGAAAGTTAGAAGATTAGAGAGGGTGAAGATCATCTTGAATAAGTTAGAAAATGACCCTGGAATAATATATATAAATATATTTGAACTTAATTTCAATCCTTCATGAGCTTCTGATCCTTATCTATGATTAATTAATGATGAACATGTGGTTTTAATTTATGATCGATTTCATCCCAATTCTTCTGTTAAAGCTTGGAGAGTAATTATACATTCTTATTGTTCAAAGTAGAGTCCAATAGTGTTATAAAAACCTCAGAGAATTCCAGTAAGATATCTTTAATCATTTCTAAGATACAACGGTTCAAAGCTTAATCTAACAAATGGACAATTTTGCTTTTACATGATTTGTACAATTTTGCTGTTGCACCCGATATATATATATATATATATATATATATATATATATATATATAAAGAGAATGACTTCTAATATGTGAATAGCAGTAAATAAACTATGAAAATAATTCTAAGAAAAAAGTCTACTTACGATTGTTTCTTACATGTTCTTCTATCATCTCAATCTGTTTTCAAAGAAAAAGAAATAAAAAAATTGTAAAGTCAACATTTTTATGCCCGTTTCTCAATGCAAACACAAGCTTCAAAATAAATAAGGAATAAAACAACTAAATAATTTCCTGGAAGAGTTTATAAGACGGAATCTGATTATGAGAAAAACAAGTATCCTTTTATATGCCACAACTTTTTGGGGTGTAGGTAATCATGACTCTCCACCACTTTCTTTTTTTTAACTCTTTAACATACCTCTTTGTTCTAGTTCTACCATACATTTATGTATCATAAATAAAGTGAAAAAATTCTGTTTAAGGAGAAAAAGATGGAGTGACAAATTTTTTTATAGTACAAAGCATGAGGAGGATCCTACTCCAATTTTTGGATTGGAGCATGAGAGCAGGAAGCTGCTGGAGCCTTAATAGCTTCAGGCAGACAATAAAACCTGGATTGAGACAATATACTAAAATTAAGAATACATTAAATTCACTGTACCATAGATACTAAGCGTAAAAATAGCATGTTTGAATTTTAAAGCAAAATCTTTCTCGGGATGTATAATTTTCAACAGCGTGTTTACTAAGTTATGATTGAATAACGGTTTTTATAATTTTTATGAGTGAAAGATAAAGAAGATATATAGATATAATTGAGCAAATTATAAATCTTGAATTCAACTGCTTATGCTACTTAACAAGCTTTTGAAAAATCTCTAAAATTTGATTTTTTTCAAGGGACATTGCTGTGACACTGAAGTAGTAAGGTGTTTAAATGTTAATTCTAAGCAGAAAAAGAGGTTAAGCCCAAAATGAAATATAAACTGGAAGATAGATAGAGAGAATGGAAGACATTTTCCCTGGTAATGTGGAAGTGAAAAAAGGGTCATCTGGGTTGCCTCACTCTTACGAATTGGAACAATACACCAAGAGTTTGCTTTTTTTTTTATCTATCAAAAATCTGGCATGCAGGTAAAGCAAACTGGGAAATAGCTTTATCTCTTTCTTGGAATATTAGAAATCCTCATGTCAATGGCGAAAAGAATTACATCATTAGAGAGAGGTAGACAGGAATTATATTTTCATTGGTGAAAACAAACTGAAAAATGAAAACAGAAAATGAACATGCTGTGAAGGTTAGGATTATGAAAATTGATCCTGTCGTAACAGGCAGGTGGTCTGGTTTATGTTTTCACTAAGATGGCGATCAGTCCAAGGATGGAGAACAGCATCTCTCTTTGTTGAGAATTTAGGTAAACAAATGTATTTTCGTTGACAAAAACAAATTGGGAAATAATTTTTATATTTCAACCTTTTTCACAAGGTAAATCATCAGATGATTATAATCGACTTTAATTTTTATTCTCTTGCTAATGGGTAGCAAAACACACATGAAAAAAAAAAACAAAATATAAATTCTCCCCATTTTTAGCAACCTATAACACTATAGAAAATAGAAATAAAATACAAACAGGAGTGTTTTCTCCATATATGAGGACTATCAAATATTAACTTTGTATCTTCTTAGAATGCAAAGTTATGAAGTGCCAAAAGTTGGCAGATTGTGCTATTTTGGAATCAGCAAAAATTGACACAAAATTTCAAGAGGCCATATACCTACTTATTTATGAATATAAATGACAATAGGAAAACTGTAATAGTTGCCGATGCGTTTCGTCGAATGTGGACTTTCTCAAGGCAAAAAACGAATTTAATTTATTTAAACAAAGTAACTAATAATAACAAAAACAAAATGTCCTTAGCAACTGGAAGAATTTAGAGAACGCTATTTTCATACTGTCAACTGAAAATTACATCAATTATTGTCACGTGTGGAGATATTGTCATTATTGCTGTGTTAACGGATTCAACCATTTTCTTTTGATTTCATGATATTGTTATGTACGTTTGTTTGGGAGAGAAGTAATTCTGTTAAGAAATGTGACATAGGGTGTAGATTAATATTTGAATTGTGCATTAGAAATTTTAAAAAAAGCCATTTATGAGCACAAAAGAAACCTCACAAGAAACGACTTAGCTAATGCTCTAGTCATGCATAGAAATAAATTCAACGACAATTTTGATTTTAAAAATGCTACACCCATAAAAAAAGAATATAACTCACTCAGAAGGAAAATGCTAGAGAGTGCCGCCATTGAATATTACCCAAATATTAATAACAATATCTCCACACATGACAATAATTGATGTAATTTTCAGTTAACAGTATGAAAATAGCGTTCTCTAAATTCTTACAGTTGCTAAGGATATTTTGTTTTTGTTATTATTAGTTACTTGTTTAAATAAATTAATTTTGTTTTTTGCCTTGAGAAAGTCGATATTGGATGAAACACGTCGGCAACCATTATTACAGTTTTCCTATTGTCACTTATATTTATAAATATTGTCTTTTCTACAGGTTAACTATGAGAAATTTTCATACCCACTTATATTTATCCATTCAGTTTTATATATATATATATATATATATATATATATATATATATATATATAAGGCATTGCAAATGCAGGAAATATTAATTTCTTACCTTTAATATTGCACAAAGTTCAGCTAGCGTTTCCAAATGGTTGATATGTATAATCAAAGGGCGGAATACATCATAGAGATATGTACAAAGTTTCTCCAACATTTCACTGTTAAAAAAATAAATGAAAGCATGTAAAATAAAAAAATATCTATAGCCTAAATTTCAATTTACTTAGATTATAACAAGTTTGACAGATGACTATATTTCATGAGTCTTCTGTGCAAATTAAATTCTGAATTAATATTTTCTGTTGTCTGCACTTTCCATTGCACTAATGATAAACTGATATGAGCTGGAATTAAATATTAGTTCTTGTAGGTATCCCAAACTTAAAATTTATTTTCAATATATCTAATTTAATCTTTAATATAGACATGGAGAAGTTGACAAAGCATAAAAAAATGGTATTAAATTTATCTTGGTAGCTCAATTAGTAACAAAGTTATGACCATTCAAATTTTGTAAGTTTTCCATCTTGTGTACTATTAGACAAGAAGCCAATTTCAACTGTTGATGTGGGTTTCATACTAGTTAAAAATCATTATAAATGTAATGTCATATAGGTAGTCTTGAAGTAAAAGAAATATAATGCTAATGGAATCAACAATTCTTAGATCAGGCCAGACTAAACATTGGGAAAAATTGCATTCTCAATTTTAATCTTTTATAGACAAATGTGAGAGTGAAAAATTTAAAGAACTAAAAATATACACTATTTACATTATTTGGACTATTGTACTCATCTTTGTTGCCATATCTATCACAATGTTTCGGCATTTGTACGCTCTGGCCTTCTTCAGGTGGTTGGAATATCGAACTGAACCCTTTATTTTGCTAGCTGGAGTAGACTGTTCTAGTTCCACGTGCCATGTCTAATGGATGACAGTTATCAGTTATCTCCTGTTAATTCACCTCTCCAAGTTTTCCACTGCCTTAACCAGGTACTGAACTCACAACTCTTTGGGTCCTGTCACTGGATCTAACCAACGCCTTTGTCCCAATGGTTGCTGAAGACATTAAGTCCCAGAAATTCATACACTGATGTCCTGAAGGACACATGGCACAGGGGATAAATGTGTTGGTTAGATCCAGTGACAGGACTCAAAGAGTTGTGAATTCAGCACTTTTTTCTTTTTGGGATACTTTACATGCAAGACATCTCCAAATTTGTTTTCTACCAGGAGGTTAGCCATTTTCTCCTGTGTTACACTCCCCACTGACCTCTTAATCACATATGTGGCAAGGGGATGGATATCGTCTTTGGCGAGTGCTTCTTTGTAGATGAGGGAGAGATATTTCTATCAGCATCACATCTTCGCCTGTGTTCTCCCGATCTCTCTCATTTCCAATATTGTCATCCTCCGGGTCTGCAGGCAGACTTTCCAACCCTGTTCTTAAGACCAACAGAGTCTCTGAGCCACTCTCAGATGAGTTACTATTTCCACTGTCTTCTGAAGCAGAAGATTTGTAGCATGATCACAGGTCTTTTGACATGGTGTTGCGTTCTGTTAACAAATGCTGTTTGGAGGCTAACTATCCCATTAACTTGCCCTATACCAAATCTGGTGGTACATTGGCTGTGTGGGACCTTGACCAAGACACTGTCTCCCACTTGATACTGATTATTTACCCTGTTAGAAGGCAGTATTGACGCATCTATCCTTTTCACACGCTGTTCGTACAGGTAAATTCTGTTGGCTGGTGCAGTTAGTGGTGTGGAGTTATCTTTCGAGGTTACATTGTACTAACACACAGCTTCCTGAAGGGAGCACCATGTTTTGGCTGCAATTCTTTTAATGATGCAATGACTGGGTCAACCATCTGACACTCCTTGAAATCTTCTATTGCTGGCTTAATGACTGCCTTTGTAGTCAAGGGACACATGCTTTGGACAAAAGTAAGCTGTACTCCAAATGCCAGGATGTCCACTTTGATGGTGTATGGCAGAGTTTTTCTCGGATGCCAACTGGTCCATTAAAAAACAGTGCACGTGATTGGCAATGGGTCGTTGTCAAGCCACTCTTTTGGTACCCAAGTTAGCCAATCTGTTAGATTCTGCTCTGATGCAATCAAGGTGATGTCAACAACCAAACTGTATTTGTCAATGAATTGTTTTCAGGTTAACAACCTTCAGAATTTGCCAAGGTCAAGGTGTCGGTCAACCAGTGGTAAACACATACCAAGTCTGTATACAGGTGCACTACCTTAGATTGCCAATGTAGTGCAAGGTTAAGAACCTTTAGCATGGCATCGAGTTCTGCCAGACTGATATGATGAGCATCATTTGTTGGACGAAGCCGGCATGTGTTCTCCAAAATAACACTATGTCTTTCCAACACCACGCCCAATGCCAGGGAACTTGTGTCAACCTTCACCAGTTATGCAACTGTAAGCCATTTTCTCTCATATTACAGCAACAAGTTTGAAAAATACCACTATGAAGCTGTCAACTTTGAAATTGTAGAAAAATATGCAACCATTGTGGCAATTTGAAAGAGATGCAGAATAAAAACTAATCATCAGATGAGAAATAATTCTACTTTTATAAAAAGATTAAATTTTGTTTACATCCTAATTTTATGAAAATAGACTGGAAAATAAATGAGATATCAACAGTTGAAATTGAAGGAAATTTCTTTATTTCAACATGTTTTCACAGTGTAAACTGAAAACTTTTCATGAATTTTAATAATTATCACATTTCTTAGCACTGAAGCCACTAATTTTTTCCTTGAAATACGTTCTAAAAATTTTCCCTACCCACCAAAGGTTACCTTTTTTTAATTTTACTGAATCTTATGTTTATTCACTTTTTTTCAAAACTTTTGCAAGTCAAAATTGGGGTATGGCATTGAAATACAGCATGTGTGGCAAAATTTATCTCATATTTGCCCCAAATCCTTAGACAATGAAAATTCTTGTACAATAATAACAATACTCACTCAAGATGAGGGGAGGGTTTGGAGAAGAAGTTGAAATACAATTGGTATTCATCTTCACATACATGCACCATAAAAGCACAACCACTTCGCATCTGAAAAAAGAAAAGAAAAAGAAAACAGAAGCACTCTAGAAACTCTTTTGATATAACCAAAACATTTTCTTCAATTTTTAATCACAAAATAATACTTAATGGGTGGTTTTTATCTCTTTCATAGTGTTATAGTGGAACACACCTATTCTATTGTTAATAGACTCTCCCACCTATAATAAGTAGGAGTAGTAGCAGTCGCTCAGTGAGTTGGTCAGTCAGTCAATGTCAGACGACCGTTAGTTGGATATTAAAGTATCAGCCACCACAACTAGATTGCTGCATCATTAACTATTACATCAAGTTCCTAATGTTTTGTACGTCGAACCTATTTTAGGACCGACTTAGTGAAATACAAGCCTCCACTGTGAAACTAGTCTATAACACATAGTGACCTATTTTAAGTAGGAATTACACAAGTTTTAAAATTAATCACATTACAAACAGTATTACATTCTGCCAAGACTAATCACCTCTTCTTACTTGGAATAATAATGTTATAATAAAATTTGAAAAAAAAAAAATTCAGTGTCTATTCAAACACATCTATTCACTAAATGTAACATTTATATTAATAAAAAATAATGTTGGATTATAAATAAAATCTATTAATCACTTAGAAATTACTTTGTTTACAAAAATAACATTAGCAGATGTGGGATTTGTAAGGTCACAACAACAAGATACATGCATTTCTTAAAAGGGTAAGTGAATATTGATTTTGCTGTGAAGTCCTTACAGGGTTGAGTTGTCGAAAGCAAATCTTGCATACAGGTGGTATTGTATTTTTATGGTTTATCAACCCTTTGTGGGTTATTTGAAGCTGGAACATATTTTGGATTGTAAGAATAATTCTTTTTTTGCAAGTGAATATTGCATGAATAATTTTTGGAGAATAACAATGATTTTTCCTAATACAGTAACAAACTGAAAGAGAGAAAAAAATGTCAAATGTTGAACTTAAATTCTACTAAACAAGAAATATGATTTGTAATTTTTTTTTAATTGATATCACCCCATGCAAGGTAGTAAAAGCCACTAAGACACAAGGGGATACAGGGTGTGGAAGAATTAGGAACAAAAACATAAATAATGAGCAGGAAGAGAAAAGAGTAATCAGGAGGACAGTAAAGGGTGTGATGGATAAATTGTCGCCATTTTATATGTTTAATTTCACACATGCATGTTGTTTGTTTTAGATTTTGTCGACTACACAGTATGGTAGAGTCAGTTGGGCACCGTCTGTGAGGAAGAGAGGAAATGACACAATTTACTTTGCCAGAAATTTGGAAATAGCATGCTGTACTGCTTGGCATTCACACTGGAAGGTCCAATACAAACATTTCAGAGTATTTGGGTGTCAATCTGAGGACAGTGCAGAGGATTCAGAAAGAGTTGGACGAGTCTAATGGTGATTAAGAAGGTGTTTGGACACCTGCATTAATATGAAAAGATCTAGATGGCTGTTCAAGAGAATCTTCATTTCACGATTTTATAGGGAAGACTGGATCAGATCAAAAATGTGTTCAGAGACACTAACTTTTCAGCTTGTGAAGACCTGTATACCAAACAAAAGGACTAATTACACTATTAGTTAAAGTGAAAACAAACAAAAAAAAGAAAGGTTGTTTTTTTGCTGGGTTTATAAAAAATGGCCATAAGATTGTGGTTTTCATATATTTGAGTACAAGGATGTGTTCTACTTTCCAAAATCTGATCAAATGACCAAACGTTTTCCCAGAAATGGAACATTGCTAACCTTTTGTTCTTTTCATGGCAGATGTTCCTTGAGAACTCCATTCGTCAGTTCAAATAGTCCAGACCTTCACAGCCAGGACCGCCCCCCATGCCACCTACACAAAAGAATCGACATCTTCATTCCTTTCATATTCCATTAGTAAGGAGAAAGTCCTACTCAGACAGCTTCTTCCCTAGAACTGTTATATGGTAGACCAAATTCACAAAAGGTTGTTTCCCCCCAATCACTGCAATCTTGACCTCTTCAAGTTTAGAAGCAACTGTTATATATCCTACTTATCCCCATAATATGCAATTTCTTACTTCCTCCTTGTACATCTTTACATTCTTACTTACTTTATTTAGACCAAAATAAACTACACAGGGGGGAGATCATTTTCAAGCATGAAGAGTTTTCTTTTCTTTAATATAACTATATACCAGAATAGTTATAGCAAAAGTAAAAAGCAAATTAAAAAATACTTGTAACTTACTAAGGCACAATGATCCCTCTGGTATCGAGTTGCTAAATCAGCAATAGTTGATTCTACACTTGGCCCCAACAGAAGTTCACGCTGAGAAAAATAACACTGGTGGCAGTCATTCAAAATCTGAGTATACCTAAAAAATGAATTCATCACTTTACCAAATCATAAGCCACAAATGGAAACAAGAAGCAAATTTAAAAACATAAATTCATATATACATTTTATATATATATATTTAAAAACATATAAATTCAAATATAAATTTTATATATATATTTAAAAACATATAAATTTTATAAATTTTATATATTTAAAAACATATAAATTCAAATATAAATTTTATATTTATATTTAAAAACATATAAATTCAAATATAAATTTTATATATATATTTAAAAACATATAAATTCATATATATATATATATATATAACAGTTTCTTTTCCAACTTCATTGTTTGTTTCCTTCTCAACTGATGACATTCAATAACAACATGGATTGGTTATTTAAAAAATGGAATTTATTCTAATGGATTCCAGGCATGGTTTATAAGAGATTGACCTTGTTGCTACTGGTAAAAATTATCTTCAATACAAAGTGATTCCCATGTCCTTCATGTTATTGGGATATGCAAACCCATCATCACAAAAGATTATAATCATTGGTGTGTTTTGGGGAAATAAATTTTTAAAACAATTTCTTTAATAATCATCCTGGATACCTGTAGATATATGAGAGTTTGTGGGATTTGAATAATGTATGTAAAACAAAAGTGGTATGAACTTTCCCAGCTCAGACTAAAAATAAGAGTCCTGCTGTCATATCTGGGCAGCTCAATCCCAGCTTTGACAGAATTCATAAGTGTCTACATAGCCTTGTGGGTGATGAATTATTTTCCACCCTACAATCCCTTTCCCACAAACGAAACATCACAAGCCTCTTGTTAGTCTATCATTACTTCCACAGCAAATTTTCTGACAAGCTATATGCCTTAGATCCACCAGTTCAGACCTTTACACCACACAATCTCACATATGCAGATTCAAATCGCCCTCATTCACTTTGTATTCCACTGGTAAGAAAGGAGGTTCCATCCAGACAGCTAGTTCTCAAGAACCACTACTTTGTGGAACTGACTCCTGAGAAGATGCTTCCCTGACCACTACAAACTTAACCTCTTCAAGTTTCAGGTCAACTGTTGTCAGTGGTTTTGGGGTATTGTAATGGATGAACACAAGTAAAAAAAAAAAAAAAAAAAATATACTACACTTTGTGGACAGTATACTTCCAGCTTGTTTCCAAATTGTCCTTCAAAGTCATACTTCAAAAGTGACCATAAAAATTAGGTGTTTTTAAGTTTTTTTTCTATTACACAGAGACAAAAAACATACAAACTTATTAAAATGCCAAAAATTGCCTTTTCCATTTTATTCTTTTGGATTACCACTCCTTGATGATAATCACAGGTAGTGAGATTTTGAATTACTGCTCCCTGATGATAATTACAGACAGTACAAGACTTGAAAGAATATATCTCTTTCTTGGATATATTGGAAAAATGTTTCATCATGGGTATTTTTAACTTTCCCCGAAAAACAACAATGAAAAATTCAAGCAGATTATCTAGGTTTAGGATAGTCTGTGACAATCAACTTCACCTCACCTCACTTCCCCTTCGGCCTTGTAACACAGTTGTATTTTTATACAATAAATAATGACTTTTCATAGCAAAAAAAGATGTATTCCTTTCACTTCTGCAAAAATGTGAGTACCCAACTACAGCCATTGAAGGTTGCTTTGAACTTTTCACCTTTTGTAAAATGTCCTATCAATATATTTAATATTTCCATGATTAAATTCTGCCTTATTTTTCTGTTGGACTTATACATGTCTACTAAGTTGTTTGTGGGTCAAATGTACCAGGAGTATATAAAATCTCATCAAAAGTATTGAAGTCTGCAATAATTCTGAAAAAAAAAAAGACAAAAAAGTCAAATTTGATAGAGAGAGAAAGAGAGAGAGAAAGAGAAATTTGTTACTGACTCTTGTGATTTATTAATTCGTTGTTCCAATTGCTCCATCAAAGCATGAACACGAGGTGCATTGGCCCGGAATTTCCCATAAAACAAAGTAAAGGCATCATCTCCTGCATTAGGTGTATCCTGAAAGTAAAACAGAACTAAATCATACTAGGTTCTCCCATTTTGTTTATGAGGACAAAGAAAAATTGTTAAAAAGTAATGCAAGACAAAAGAATATCTACGTAATCATTTTTTAGAATTTTCTATCTTAGGATTTGTATAGGTGCAGAGATATAAAAGCAACTGATCACTAATGACAATACATTGCTCTACGAGAAGGTGCAATTTTCATTTTTTAAGAGTTGGATTTCTCTGGTATTTCATCAACTAAAGTTTTTAACTTAAAGATTTAAAAAAAAAAGACAAATTCAAAACCTATCTTAAGTCCACCAAATTGACGAGAGTTGCTTTTTTGATATGTTTAAGGAGACACAACTCAAAGGGCAACAAGTTTGTAAAATACCATTTTGCAATTGCAGAAAATGATGCACCCATTGTTGAAAAAATGGCAATTAAAGAGATGCGGAATAAAGAGAATGAAAAGTTGAAAGACATCTGAAAATAAAGTTAAATTCTCATAGACAAGTTTCTTAACATAGCTGTTTGAGGTTTCCTATAGCCCCACTGAACTTAAATAAAGTCAATTTAGGTTTGCTATGGTAAAAATTTTCTAGCCCAAGTAAAAATCATCACAAAAATGGCAAGTCATTTTGTCACAGCTTATTTTCTCCCAAAAAATGGATTTTCATAATTTATGGAGAATATTGAAAAATGACTGTTTTATCATCACCTAAACAAATATCAAGGAAACTTTTGATCTGAACTCCATGAAACTTGATATTTTCTGAAAGCAAAGGATATATTCTTTCATTTAAAAGTAAAATTGGCTGGTGTAAATGACTCAAACTTTTATTTCAAGGGGTAAAATGTGAAAAAATAGTGAAAATTTTGCATTTTTTCTAGTTCTAAACAAAAATTTTCACCATTATAAAATTGGGTTTTGAAGGAAATCAACATTCCTAGGGGGTCAAAATGCAACAAAGTCCATTGGTAATTTTCAATTATATAAGAGTGAAAAAAGGGTCAACATTGGTAGGGCTTGATATAAGTTTTTTTTTTTTTCAAACCTATGTTTGAACAATGGCTTGATGTGTTTCGTTTTGTTTTTAACACCCTGTGACCCAGTGATGATGACAAAAACACTTAGCAGACGACATTGTTTTTTTCACCAAATGTCTTCCGTATTTCCCATCGCCAGGCCATTTAGCCATTTCTTTTATTCAATGATGTTCATGCCAAATTAAGGAGAAAGGGATGAAGTTTGAATGATATAATTTTGAAGTGAAAATAAATATTTTTTTCATAAAAAAAGGGGATTTTTCTCAGAAAATTGGGCATAATTTCTTAATGCTAACCGCTGAGTGACATTTTCCACAGTCAAATTGAAAATTAATTACCAAGGAATAATTCCACGTGCAAACAATAGCCGTCCGGATCCTATAACATCGCCCAAAAAGGTCCAAAAGTTTACTAATTGATCAAAAACTTGTTGTGCATAATTGTGTTTTTCACGGTCAGTTTCCATTATTTCATGTTGATGTTGTCATTTTTGGACAGCCAAGTCATCAAGGATTCAGGAAAACAGTTTGGCACAGGTTTGCTTTAAGAACTTTACATTCTATGAGGTGTTTAAAATGTTACTGATGAATGCGATTTTACACCGAATATTTTGTTACGCGCCATGTTGAATTTTCCTATATGACAAAAATAAACGTTTTAAACAGCTGTGTTAAACAAGATGATGTGTTTTTGTCATGTCCTTTCAGGATGCTGGCAATCATGACACACCACAGATTGCTTTTCTTTATTATCTGCAAATTGCCATCTCTTATTAGGAATGATAGTGAAAAGTGTTGGCAATGTTGCAAGTAGATATGTGTGTGTGTGTGTGTGTGTGTGTGCATTTCAACTCACCTTCTTAGGCAGTACCTGCTGAGAGGCATTCTGCAGAATAGTGATCACATGACTTTTGATGAGGGTTAGAGCACGGGATAGACACTGTTTGAACCGAGCCAAATAAACTTGAGATTCTTTGTAACGTGGCTGAGAAAATAAAATTGAAATACAAAATTTTTATAAATGAAGAAGATACAGAATAATTGAGTAATAAGAAACAAGATTAAAATTGGCAATGATAACAGAGATTCACAGCGAACCTCACAGATTATAAAAAAACATGACAATTTCAGGAGTATTCAAAAACATAAAGATAGCTTGCATCTATATTAAGTTTATGAAAGGGATATATCTGTTTGATTAAAAAAAAACCTTTCAGGTAATTCAGTCAAAGATGTAACAGGCAATGTACTGAGGGAACTTAATGTTGTTGTTGTTGTTGCATCTGTCACTCAGTCACTCAAGTCCTGTAGACTCCTTGTGGAGTAGAAAGCCATAACCTCAACATGCTAGGCATTGCTACTGTGGTATTCATAATGTATTTTTATGGGATGGACTTTCTAGCCCCCATGTCCAACTGTTTTTTTTAAATTCAAAAGTGTGCTTCTCTTAGAATGGTTGCCACCCAAAGCTGAAGAGCCCAGTCTGCCCTACTATTTAATACATAACTGGGAATGTTGTTATATACAATAGTATAAGTGTTGAATTTATAGTAATATTTTGAAAACCATAGAGAAATTAATTTCAGTGTTTACTGAAAAGACAATATAAAATATAGTGAAAGACAAACTTACATTGCTGGCAATGTACAAAATACATTCATCAAGCCGAGCCAACATGGGAACAAAGGAATCATTTGTTACAGAAAAAGCAGGAGAACCAAGTTTCTGAAAAAAAAAAAAAAATCAACAGATATTATTTACATGTAAAAATTCATGCCAAGCAAAAAAGTATGTGCTGGGTGATTTGGGAAGTAAAATTTTTATATCATTATTTCATTTTATTTTTTATCTGTGATATTTCATCTTTAGACTTTCTTTACTTGATTCTTGCAGGATAAAATTTTAACCAGATTTTCATAAAACATTAATGATGCAAATATATAAAATATCTCATTTTATCACTGATGTTCAATTGTCTTTATATGCAGAGAGAACTGAAATCTTGTATTACATGAAAAAAAGTATTTTACTTATAAATTCATCTCCAGATGCAGATTAATAATATGGATTTCAGGTAATATATGCCACTTCATTAATTTTGAGTTTTAATTTTAGAAAGTAGAGAATCGTGAAATTATAACCAGTTATTTTAAATAACTGTTTGTGTGGCCTTGATGTAGCATGGCAAACACTGAGAGTGAAGCTTAAGGTGTATGTGTGAACAGACATTCTCCTATAGGGTTACTCAGTTGGTAGTGAGATGTCATTGAGTGAATGTGTACTATGTGACCATCACATTTACAATGTCCAGATCCTTCATATCTCCTGAAGGTTTTTTTTTTTTTTAACAAAACACATCCCATCACCCAGGTCTGTCAGCTACCAGCACTACAATACAGATTTAGCTCTCTGAGACTTTGGGATAAAATCACCATAGAAATGCAGTGGGAGAAATTAAGAACATAATGGAGCAGCTGATGGCAGTCACAAAAAAACAACTTTGCAGACTGTATTGAAAAGAGATGATGGGATAAATATCTGAGGTCTCAATGCAGTGGTTCCCAAATTTTTTCTCTGGGACACATTTTTGGAAGGAAAATTTGCTCATGCCTCACCAAATTTTATATGATAAAAAGTACATTTAAAAATAAAAAAAAAACAGAGGGCTGAAGGGAGATAACTGCGGATTCGAAGTCAGAACATTATCATTGATAACTCTCTTCTCCAATTTGTAGACCCTAGTTACTATATTCTTAATACTTGATATAATGCAAAAATATCACAATGATCAGTAATTATTTATAACTATTTATACTGGAACTCATGCATACAATTACAAGTTATCCATAATAATATTTTAAATTTTGAAATCATTTATTTTTGGCAGATTATTTTTTTTAAACTGTTTCTAAATCTTTGATTGTCTTTAAATCATTCTGCCTCATTTGCTATCCTCTTCCTATGAGGTGTGCCACATCTTTTGGGAACCACTGTCTTAATATGAGTGTTTTGAAGGGGACTAAGGTGTGATTGACCTAAAATAGGCACTGCTTTTATTTTGTTAATATTAAATGGCTGGATAATTTTGGGACAGTCTTCATATGTATCCATCCTAGACAACCGTTAATGATTTTTTATAAAATTGTCATCTACTAAGCTTAACCAAGTATGACACAAAAACAAAAAGGGGGGGGGGAGATTATGTAATATCAATCTTCCAAGTGAGAAATACATGTTTACCTTTAAAAGCAACATTAAAAATCCATGTACCTTGATCAATATTACAAGAAATTTTTAGAACTAAAATCTTTGTTCTAAGGATGTATGAATATATACACACATATGTCAGCAGGAAAATATAATTCCTTTGTACAGGAAAACAACTTAATCTATTTGCCACCATATAATGTATAGATTTTCTAACAAAATGTTGCTTCCAAAAACCCCATAGCATATTATACTATACAGTTTGGAACAAGATAAAATACTGACTAAATAATTTATTCAGTGTTTATTTCACTGTTTATGAAAATGGCCCTTAAACAAGTCCAGAATAAAACAACTAATATTAGATGGTGTAAACTGTAGTAATTCTTTTTACTTACAATAACAATACAGTCACTATTTATATTACATTTTTAATTTTAAGCAAAACTCAAGGCAGATCTAGATTAGAATTTATAACTGCTTAACACTATAACTTATTATTTTGACTTTGAATAACTTTCAAAAATTGAACTCAAGTCATTCAGAAAAATCTATCAAAAAAGCAACTAGTGCTTTTTTTCATAGTTATCTGAATGGATTTAGTTACAATATTTTAAAAATATTTCCTTTTTATATCTTTCCTTTTCCAAGAAAGAATATTCAATCAATGTAGAATATAAAAGTTTCTCAACTGTTATTCCAATGCAAAAAATAAGTTCACATTTAATTCTGTAAATACTGCATTTAGAGACTCTTAATACTACTGTATATTTCCACAGATAAGACAAAACTTTAGATAAGATGAGGTAAAAAAAAAATAGCAAATTTTCATGAATTTATCCTCTACCTGTAGTATAAGATGACTGTTGATTATATAAAGATGATGTTATTGGAAATGTTGTTATTTACTGTATCTTTAGAGATTCAAAATAACAAAACTGATTTTTTTTATCATGTTTTTACTACGCACATACGTTTCATCACTTGATCTCTTGCAAATACTGATTATTCTTCTTCCGCCTTTTCTTTTCCTGTAGCTAAACAGTTACAAACAACCTGGTGTACTAATGACCATTTACTTATACTTCATAGTTTTATAATATCCTAAAAGTTTTAAATGCAACTACCATAAAATGATTTTTATTTGAAAAATAAAGGTTGTATGTAATTGTAAATTGTGTTATTATTTAACACCAAAATGATAATGAATTTTTAATAAGAAATGAATATTATTATGTTATCCTAAATGTTATTAATGCCATAATTAACTTTATCATGATGATTATTAAAAGTTTAGCAAAAGATAAATGTTGCTGTGAATACAATCATAATTTGATGTTTACATTTTCTCAGCTGAGCTTGCATGGATACAAGTTGATTTCATTGATATGGAATTATTCTTTGACTAGGCAATTTATTATGAAGTTATGCCAGTAATATATAAGGTAGAAATGGTTTTATTACTTTTATTATCAGTTTATTTGATAATGTGACTGTTTTCATGTATGTTATTGGTTATAGCAACGAGATTGAAGTTAGCCTACTGACAAACATCACTCAGAATTTAAGGTTTCTTTTTTAGAATTGTAGGATAAGACGACTCCCAATTTGTAAGGGTCATTTTGGGGATTTAAAGGTCGTCTTGTATGTGGAAATATATGGTAATTGGATGGTAAAAAGGAAAACAAAATGTAACTACATAACTGTTGTAGCATATCTATGGATGATAATGGGTATGTCTCCATTCACGCAAATGCTGTATGTTGGTCTGCAGTTGGAGATTCATTGTGGAATTCACTTGACATGCTTCTAGCAATTGACTACTTCTTCTATGCACTACTGGTGAATCTTATATGTGTTGTTCTTGTCCTAAGTATTATTGTTCATTACCAACCTTTGTTTGATTATTCTATTCAGTAACCTTCCCTAGGTTACAACAATAACAAAAAAGACTATGACATAAGGTGGAAGAAAAACATCAAAAATTAAATATTATAAAAGACCGCCAACAAAATCATGTAAAAATGCACTGAGAAGTTTTTAACAATTTTTCTACTCACACTTGAAATCCTTTCCAATTCATTGAAATATGAAAGTTTGTTGCTGATATTTTCAGCAGTATTCATCAAACTTGACTGAAATTAAAAAAAAAATATTTAATAAAAAAACTGAAATAAATTTAATCTTTACAATTTTCAAAGTTTTCTTATTACTGTTACTGAAATTAAAACTGCTTAGAAAGAACTAAATGCATAAATTGATGAATTAATATTTTAATCTGGAGAAATTAAATGGAGAATGATTTTCTTTTTTTTATTTGGGAAATGCTAAGTAAATAAATATTAATTGGCAATTTCTCCTGATTTCTATATAAAAAAGGATTCCATTTTCATGTTATATCTCTATTAGAATTTTGATTCTAACATGCTGTATAAATCAGCAATTATCTCCTTCTCAGCTTTTTTGTAGCATGTGCAAAATTCTTTCTTAAATCCATTATTAAAATCAGATGAATTCTATCCATTGCTAAAGAACTAAATCTATTCTAAAGATGAAATTTTTTTCATTTTAAAAAGTACAAATATTTTCTTCTCTCATGTAATAATTCATCCACTTTAACTGAGGGTTAAAATTTAAACATCTCAGTACACTGACCATGAGCTTACTATTTTCTCTTACAGACTCCAACCCCCCCAATTAAAAAAAAAAATAAATTAAATATCTTACTTGTTTAGCCAGAAGATGTTCACATGCTTCATGAAGGGCATTAGTCTTGAATGATACCAAATTATATTGTTCCTGTAAGTTGTTCAGATAAGTAATTGCATCAGTAACCTCTTGCAACACATCTTGGCACTGCTTTTTATAGTCTTCCAGTTCCAAAATATAATTCCTGGAATTCAGAAAAAAAAATTCTGAAAACTTCTGCTATTGTTTCACTCTGACATGTACTAGAAATTTCAAAATCATCCATATTATTATCAACAATCATATAACTATAACATTGAAATTATTGTCATAAAAAATTCACAGAATAAAACACATTAGGTTTGTGTCTGGTAAAATGTTCAGGGTTAGAATTTTCTGAACTTTTAAGTTTTTAACTTTTTTCTTTTAAATACAATCAACAACGAAATTATTTGTACATCCATCAATTTTGAATATTTTTATCCATTTCTCAGAATCTAATGCTGTATAATGCCAGTTTTTTATATGCTAATAAGCACAAAAAAAGGGAATATAAAACTCAATTTTCAGAACAATAGGTTAAATAAACAATCAATTTAAATCAATATTTTCTATCGTATGAATAATTTTTTTCTTTTCCTATTTTGCATAATTTGCCTGTCAAATTTGTTGTATTTAATCTATTATTCTGAAAATTAAGTTTTATATTCCGTTTTTTTGTGCTTATTAACATATAAAAAAAACCTGGCTTCATATGGGCATTAGATTCTGAGATATGGATAAAAATATTCAAAATTGATGGGTGTAGAAATAATTTTGTTGTTGACTGTAAATACAAACTATAATATCCAATATATAAATCTTCAAATAAACTTAATAAAAACACTGATCCATTTGCTCAATGCAAGATTGCCACCACAGATCTTCAATTTATAAAAAAGCACAATGAAGTGATATGTAATAAAACAATATCTGTCTACAACATGAAATATATAAAAAAAACTGTATAACTGTATTTTATCAGTTCTTTCTATTTTCTGACTTAGTTAGAAATGTTTTCTTGTTCATTAATGACTAAATCCCAAAATCTCATTCAAAAAGGTGTTCACTTTTGATCTCTTATACTTTTCTTCTTTTTAGTTTCATGTAAATGCATAAAATGTAAACAAATACACATAAGTATATCAATAAGTCTGTAGCATAATGAGAGTTTGATTTGGTTGATTTTCATGGTATATTGACCTCTTCAAGGTTATTTAATGCCAAATTCTTTAGTTTTGAGAAGCAATAGATACCTAGACATAGGTTTTGTTTGTACAAGAGTCAAAAAGGAAGATATAAATGTAATAAACATGTGACCCCATTGTGTGGGAGGGTTTACTTCTTTGCACTGTATATTCTTGACCTCAACCTTGTGAGCTTAATGATGAAAAGTGCATTTATTTTACATGAATAATTTTCAACATAATCTCATTTGTTGTGAATGAAATTAACCTAACATTTTTCTACATAGGGAAGCTTTTAAAACAAAATTCACCTAATAGCTACATGTCAAGTGTCAAACTAATGGATCTACTCACATATGTACATGTACATCTACATGTATACAGCCATCATAGTAGTCATCAAAGTCCTTCTGAAGTTGCCCATGCATAAATGTCATATCCGAATTAGACCACAAAATGTTTCTACTAATACTAAATGGCTGGCAAAAAGGTGACACATGTAACATTTCATCTTTCAGACACAGAGGTCTACCAAATGTTCTATAAACATACCCTTATGTGATATCAGTTGGCTTTTATTTAACAAATATCTTCATATACAATGATTAAACAGAAACAAAAACTAAACAATACCCTATTTTATCGTATTTTGTCTTTTTTTTCTGAAACAAAAAAAATTGTTTTTAAGTTGTTAACTTAAAAACCTACCTGTATGGCACCTCTTCTTCTTTGGAAATGTTTTCTTCAATTTCAGCAAACCAGGAAAAGAACTAATTGAAAATAAAAATTCATATAAGATAAATAAAAATGAAATTTACTGGTTTAATATGTATATATTGCTAAAGGGGCAAATTGGTAGGTACCAATTTTACCTAAAGGGAGTAATAAGCATCTGGAACAAACATTCAAAAGGAACATAACTAACAGCAACACTGACACCAATTTATGTCCCGTGTTATTTGCATTGTCCCCCTTTAGGTGAAAGCGTCACATACCATTGTACTAATTGCCCTTTGTGAATTTGCATTAGCTTCCTCTTGGTGAAAGTGTCACCTACCAATTGTTTTATTTGTATTGGACACTCTATTATCACTTCAAGCTATAATCTACCATATATTTCTGCATATAAGTGACCTTTAAATCTTAAAATTTACCCCTGAAAATAGGGGGTCATCTAATACAACAGCTACTAAAAGCTAACTTTAAATCCTGTTGGTATCAGTACTAGTAAATAGGCTAGTATGCTTGTAACATGGATCGTGTTAGGCTAGCAACTGCCTCGATATGGTAACTACCGATGTAAATATTTCTAGTTGAAACAATTCACATTATAATGCTGTACTACAGTTATAAATGTAATAAAACTACTTTTACTTCTTGATTTCCCATTAAAATGCAATATTCAAGAGACGATTACACAACAATTTGCAAAAGTTCAGCTGAGCAACATGTACAAGTACACATAAACAAATCTTTCGCTCTTGATTTATAAAGCTATGATTGCATTCACACCAATCATTATTTCTCATAGTAGTGATAATAACAACATTTATGGTAACATAAAATCTATATTTCTAATTAAAATTCATTATTATTGTGGTGTTAAATAACAAAAACATTAATATAACATGCAAACTTTATTTTTCAATAACAACATTATACAGTATTTTGGGGGTAGGAGGTGTTAAGCAACAAAATATTTAAGATGCTATAAAATCATTATTTTTCATTACAGAATAAAAAACAGAAGAACCATATATATGATTAAAACCTTTCAAAATTACTATGATCTGATGCAAAGAGCTCATCATAAACATTGTCATTTACAGTTTTGTCATATGGGTCCCAGTCGGTCATCTTATACTATCATGAAAATTTATCTAGATTTTGGGTCTCATCTTATCTATAGGTCACCTTACACATAGAAATGTACAATATTTCAGTGAAATGTCAGATGGGAAGCTTGACATTAAGTTTATCCTAGAGTTCAATGAATCAGTTTCTGTTGTCAAGTGAGTATAAAAGTTGAGCTGGTGTGTGACTCGTGTGGGGGTCATGAAAGTCAAACAAGTTTTCCCTCTTCGACTTTTTGGTGGCGAGTTTGTTACACATATAGAGTTGAGCAAAGAGGATAAAGCAAATACAAACTGGATAAAGAAGCCCTGTTCACCATCTTTGCAACAGACTCCTTCACAGTATATGAGCAGCTTGTGCCACAGAGTTTACGTCCAGTCAAAACAGTCAATGTGTACTTGGAAGTTGGTGGTACTTTTTGTGGGGGTCATGGATCATAGCTTGGCATGTTTGTGTCCAGAGTGAATATTATTCTGATGTTATATAGACTGCAGATCTTCTGAATCTTTTCTGATATGACCCTGACATGAAGGAGACAGATTATAGGTGCAGGCATAGAGTTATTTGTTCTTCACAGTGACTACTGCTCCTAGGGGTCATCTGTGTACCCATGAATTCCCATAAGGCATCAGTGTCACTTCTAGTCTCTATCTATAAAAGGCAGGATATGTGTGTGTGTGTGTGTAACAAATGCACAGCCACAATTTTCGATGGATTTTCACCAAAATTTACATGCACATGCTCCAAGTTAGCGGGAAGGCCAAGACTGACTGCATTTCCCGACTCCTATTGTTAGTGGAAATAATCGATTTTTTCATGCTTCTATGGCAGTTTTCATGTAGTTTGCGGCCATTTTGTACTGGCCAGAGTAAGAGCCATTAGCTGGCTGCCACAAATAGGCAGGAAGATTCTATTGGCCAGCGTGAGAGCCAACAGCTGACTGACACGAATGTTAACTAACATGCTAGCATGCAAAAAAAATCAATAGCTGCATTCATCTCAAGTGGGAAAAATTTAAATCTGCATGGCACTTTACTCCAATTGGCTCATTCACTTACTTAAACTCAACGTTGATTCTGATTCAGCAAAACTGGGTTGAATGTGAAAAAGTATTTGTTAACATTCTTTTTTCATTCGGTTTTTCCAGTTACGGGTCCTTTTTTAAAGGTGTTCATTTTGTTTAGTTCTTTTTTCGTAACAGATTTAATGTTTAGTATAGAGCTTCACAGTGAGATAGGCAAGAAATTCACAGTGTGAGATAGGCAAGAAGTAAGGCATGTAGCAACATCAGCACGGCAAAGGGCACTCCTTTAAAGGCAAGGAAGGGCAAAAATATTTTAAGTCAAGTGATAGCAATTGCTGTATGAGTTGTACGGTTTTTGAATCAAGCACGGGCAACATCAGGCCATGCTGCTAGTACAAAATATTAAGGAAAAGACCATCATCTTAGCCGACAAGCAGGCAAAAGTGGTATGTACATATCTATTATATTTAAATTTATTGTGATTTCTATCTTTGTGTTTCATTTATGTATTCTCTGTTTGTTCCCTTGTTTAGTGCTATGCTGTTGAAAGACAGTAAATAAAACATCAGTAAAAGGAAGTCAGTCTTTGTTTTGCGACTAATGTAGACCAAAAGATCCCTTCTTCTTCAACCCTTCTGTTTTTGCCTGCAGAAACTGATGTTATATTTGCAGGGTAATTGTATCAGTCAATCCCTTTCTTTATACTGCATCGATGGTGGAAATTAAAGTTAAGGTACTGCCCAGTTTGCGATATACAGATGTCTTCATTATTGTTTTCTTATTTCATTATGAAGTTGACCAAAGATTTTATTGAGAGCACATGGCCCATCAGTATGTCCAACTTCCCAGTGGGGCTAGAGTATGATGGCATCATATTTGTTAATTTTAGTGATGTGGTTCCTAAAGCCATGTTTGATTATGTATGGAAGGAAAAGCAAAATCACTAACCTCTGTGGAATGAAGTGAAACTACTAAAAGGAGAACAACACTGGACAGTCAGATGTCTGAAAGATTCAGCACCTATACTAGGCTATGAGAACCACCTAAGTAGGCCTAGCATAAAAATAAATACATTATGGGAGCCATTGATAAATAGAGAGAAATGACAGCAAGGCTTCAACAGTAATAATAAAAGAAAAACCGTGGTGAATGCAGTCAAGCATAGCAATTGTGAGTTCAATCACTGGGTTGGGCAGTACAGACAAAGCAAGCAATAACTGAGCAGTAAAGAACTGGGCAAGATATCTCAAGACATGGACAGCAGAATGCGAACACTCAACCACTGTAGATTAAATAAAGGGTTCAATTCAAAATTATCTGAAAGATACCCAGAGCAATAATGGCCAAAACATTGTGATAATATCAAAGATGAAGACATTAGTCTGAGTGTAAATAATGTAAATTAACTGGCTTTGTTTTTTTTATCCAGAAACTAGTAGACTAACCCTGTATAGTCAAGATTTTTATTAAAAATAATAAAAATGAAAAAATGCACTTTTTGAAATCAACCCAGATTTTAAAGTAAAAATTTAAAGACACATATAGGTTCTTTGCTTCTACAACTTCAAAGCAATTACAAAAAAACTCTTGTAAAATTATTAAATAAAGTCTTTGTCATTAGAGTTGTTAAATATTAAAATTATTTTTGCAGAAACAAACCGGGATTTTGTATTTTACACGTGTCAATTGAAGAACAATTTCTAACTATGTTAGTTCGTAATGGTCATTTATCTGAAATGTTCACTTCCGTATAAGCTTGAAACAAATTCATGTACATAAAATTAGAAAGCATTTTAAAAATACAATTGCATAGAATTTTTTTTTAATTATCCCCAAACAAAATGACATTTTCTTTTGACAATATGATTACTAAATGCCACAAATTTTCACCAAAGTGAAATTTGATTTAGTTGGTAAATGAAGACTATGTAGAATAAGAGGTTTTCTTGGAATCCTTTTATAGAAAATGAGTCAATATTGTCTTGTTATTTAAATCATAGCAAGTAAAAAGAATGGGGTAGTTAATTCCAATACTTTTCTGTTATTTATTTATTAGATAAAGTCAAAAGTAATTAGTCTAAATATCTAAAATGAATCCAATAACATGAGTTTACTATAAAATTTCTTTAAAAAGATGCTATCTTCTGAATTGTTGCTTCCAAGCAATTCATAAAATATTTTGATTTTACCTTTAAAAAATTTGCAAAAATGGACATAAATATAGAACCTAAAATTAAATTCTAATCTTACAAATTTTAAAAATTTTCCAAGAAACATTGTTTTTTCAAAAAATTGCATTAATTTTTATAATTATTATCATGTTAATTGTTTTTAATCAAGAACATTTTTCAGTATCAATTGCAAATTTTATTACTATTTATGTCTTTTCCAAGGGCGTTAGTGCCAAGAGAACACATATAATCTCAGTTGGAGTTTCGAATTCAGCCCACCAATTTCATTTTCTCTGCTTTCTAACAATTTAACCACTGACCTTTCCATTGATATTTTTTTAAATGTTTACATAGATGCAAATGATCAGGTCACTTTATGTGGTATCATATAAAAAAAATGCCCCTTTTTGTAGTTTGGAAAAAATAATAGTTTTGACCATAAACTGACTTGTAGTGACCTCAGAGGTCAGTACTATCTATTCCAATGTTCATCTTCAAGTCTAATTCTTCTGACAGATTAATTTTCAATCCTCTGGGTCCAGATGGTTAGCTGGCTATTAAAATACATACAAGCAAAGAATCGCCAGTTGTATAGTAATAATTTTTGCATTTTGTTTTAAGTAAAAATTTAACAAAATTAATATGCTAAATGCATTCACGCTTTAAAAAATCCCTGTGTGACAAATTTTAGTGAAATGCATCCATGAGATTTACCATTTACAAAGCCTGTTTGTTTTTTGTCTTATTTTTACCCCTTTGTGGGTTATTTAAAGCCAAAACATATTTTGAATTTTTTTGTGAGTGAGTTTAGCAATTTTTGGGAGATAACAATTTTTCCAGATACACGTCCTACGATAGCTGGAGGGGCAGAAGAAGTGGATTCATGCCTTTCCTAAGGATATTTGTGCATAAGTGAATTTATCAAATTCAACTGGAATTTGAACTTGGTTCTCTGGTAACTCATTCTGAGCCACTATCCATTAAACCATCCTAGAAATCCTAGACACATAGTTTGCTTTACTAAAGAGACAAACATAATGACAATAATGATAAAAAAACATGAGAGAAAGATTTTGTTAATAATAATTTACTTGCCTGTTGTGCATTTTCTATTTTCTCCCCAAATTCTGAGCCTTTCAAGAAGACCATAGATTCAGTGTCAATAGGTGCATTGTCTTCTTTTGCAGCCAATTGAGGTGTTGGAACATCATCCAAAGGCAACTACAAAAAAACAAAACAATAAAGACAAAACTAAACAGAGTGTGACTGTAAATAAATCATCAAAATGTATAAGTTTCTTCCTACTGTTATCTATAATTGCTTTCATATGAGAATTTATATCTGGGTTAATTTAAATGACACATGGGCTAAAAAAATAGTCCTTCACTTCATCAGTGTGTACTCAAGAAATACTAGTCATTTAATGGAGCAAAGGTAAAATTTGCACTTAGGGAAGTGTAGTATTACAGTAAGTAAACTCAAACAAGACAACACAGTTTTGTCTGCAAAAAGGTGATCGCAAACCATACACAAAGATTTTCCCAGAACAGTTTGCAAAATCACACCATCACTGCGAACTTTGCTACTTCACCACACCTGTCACATGTAGAGCCTTACTTTCACATGGACATGACACAGGAAGTTTTTTTTTTAAATAAAGTCTCCTTCTATACAACATCAAAAATGATCCTTCAATTTTTTACTTTCCTTAATTGAAAAATACAGCAAAAATGTTACCTTAAAAAAATACAAAACGGTGATATTTTTAAATTTTATGATTGGTTATGGTACAAACTTTAACAGTCTCAACAGAGTCCAAAGGCATCTCCTCATCCTTTTGGGTGATGAATTATTTTCCACTCTACAACTCCTTTCCGACAGACGAAATGTGGCAAGCCTAGCACTGCTTTATCATTATTTCTCAGTGCTCAGACAAACTACATTCCTTAGTTTCTCCAGTTCTAACCTTCATGGCTAAGACCCACCATGCTGGCACATTGTAGCGAACGAACCACCCTCATTCCCTTTGTGTTCCATTTCAGTAGCTTCTTCCTGCAAAATGCTGCTCTGTGGAACTGACTTGCAAGGGGGTGTTTTCCTGATCACTATAATTTTGGCCCATTCAAGTCTAAGATTAATTATTATCTTCCCCACATATCCACTTACTCTCTAACCCTTTACTTCAAGTGGCTCCCAGGCCTTGTACAGGGTGAATGCCATTGTAAAAAAAAACAAAAACATAGAAAAACAAAAAGAAACTCCTGGTTTAGAATATAGAAATGTACTAAGCACAGCTTAGATGTGGCTCAAGGCTGAAAGTATGGAGCACCCAGTAAGGATCAAACTCACTACTCAGTTGTAATTGATCTAGCAAGACAAGCTTGCTAACCATTACACCACATTGAAGTACACCCTGTTGGTTCAGAATATAAAAGAAAAACACTGTAACCCTGGTCAGATAGTTTGCAGATTTTCAATGTAATTGTTTAATATACTCTTGCCAACACTTTTCTATGATACTTTTAGATGGATATGTGCATCATATATCAATATGTCCGATTGGTTTAGATAACAAATTTATTTCAACATAATCTCTTACCTTGTTACTGAATCCAACATTTCTTCATTAATCTCATAAATCAAACATTATATGATAAAAAATTCAGATCAAATCTGAGCTAATTGCAGTGTCAGGTTACAGATTTATTGACCTACTCTTTAGATAGAGAGATAGATATGAACATAATTAGATAGATTGATTTATTTTTTATGGCTTATCAACTATCTGCAGGTTATTTAAAGCCAGAAAATATTTTCAGATTGTAAGAATTTTTTGGTGATAATGTTTTACTGACAGAAGTTCAACTAATGAACCCATAGTTGGGGGAGAAGAGGTGAATTCATACTTTTCCCAAGGGCATTTGTACTTAAGTGAATATAGCGAACACAACTGGAATTGGAACTCAGGTCTCTGATTCCAAATTCCAAGCCATTATCCATTACATCCCTTGTATATCCATGCTTACACCATCTGGTATTCCCAAGAAGTCATCTATCAGGTCATCCCGTAAGTTCTGTCCGAATTTTAACTTTTTGTTAAAATGAACAAAATTTAAAGAGTATTTTATAATGTCTAATGGAGCTGAACATTATTTTTATGTTTAGATGCATTTAAACTGATCAAATTTTCTTTCAGAGAACAATAAAATTAAATTTTGTTTGATTAAAACCCTACTAACATGGAAGGCACATAATGCTTTATGAGTTCAAGAAAGGAAACTCAGCAGCCGAAGCGGCTAGAAACATTCACTCAGTTTATGGAGAGGAATGTGTGAATGAAAGAACTTGCAGAAGATGGTTTGCAAAATTCAGAGGTGGAGATTTCACCCTTGAAGATGAAGATCGAACCGGACGTCCAGTTGAGTTTGATGAAAAGCTTCTTGAAGCAGCCCTTGAAGAAAATCTTGCTTTATCAGTTGAGGAATTGGCAGTGGTTCTCACTTCAAACCATACAACTGTTCATCATCATCTTCAACAACTTGGATAAGTTCCTAAACTTGGAAAATGGGTGCCTCATGAATTGTCTGAAAACAACCTCAAATCTCAAGTTGACATCTGCTCTTCTTTCCATTCTCGCCAACTTGTTTCACCTTTTTTGGATAGACTTGTGACTGGCAATGAAAAATGGATCTTTTATCGAAATGTTAAGCATCGTAGACAGTGGCTTGGTAAAGGGGAAGGACCCCAGCCACAGACGAGAAGGGAACTTCATGGACAAAAGGTTCTTCTTTCAATCTGGTGGGATCGCCAAGGAATAATCCACTTTGAATTCTTAACACCTAATGCAACAATTAATGCTCAAATATACTGTCAGCAATTAGAGCGTTTGAACCAAGCTTTGAGGAAAAAAAGACCTGCTCTAGTGAATCGAAAAGAGGTGATGTTTCATCAGGACAATGTGCGACCACACACAGCAAGAATCACGTCACAAAAGATTGAAGAATTTAGTTGGGAGAAAATTCCTCATCCACCTTATTCTCCTGATCTTGCTCCTTCAGACTACCATTTGTTTTGTAGCTTACAGAATCATTTGGAAGAAACAGCTTTTGTAACACAGGAAGAAGTTAAAACTGACATTTGTGAGTTCTTCGAATCAAAGCCAAAAGAATTTTACAGTAATGGAATTAGTAAGCTTGTTAATAGATGGAAGGAAGTCATAGATAATCAGGGAAAATACATTACTGATTGAATCTGTAATTAAATGTAACATTTGGTCACTTGTTTTCTTTATTCAAAATTCGGACAGAACTTATGGAATGACCTGATAGATAGATAGATAGATGGAGGTGTATTATGACAAGATATAATTGTTATACACTAAAACAATGAATTTGGTGAACCAAGTTGTGATTCTTGCTCAGACTACTAATTATATCTTTTATACTTGATGCCCTTGATAAAAAGCATGGACCCAACCCTCTATTTACTCTGTCCTACTCTTATTCGCTTTGATCATGAAATGTCATAAAAGAAAACAAAGAAATAGGTGAATAGATACATGAATGTTCTACTCTTTCAGTTACTCTCTTGTTCAGGGAGTAATATGTGATGCCACATTAGCATCAACAGACAGTAGGATAAGCAAAAATAATAATAATAATAATATACTAACAGCATCTGTGAGCAATAGTACTAGTGCCAATACTAGTGTAACTAAAAGGTAGTTACAAATGGCCTATACACCACAGTGTTGGTATAAAAAAAAAAGTGCTCAATGATATGCTTTGTCCTGGGTAAGACGTTAAGCTACATCCGCGTCCTGGGTAAGATGTTAAACTACATCCTGCAGCAAGGCCTCCGATCAGGAGGTTTTGAGGAGCGTGGAACAACCTCTTAATTGCTGGTGTTCCCAGGTCCACCCTGACCCGGGGTGGTAACACCTGTTAGGGTCCCAGCTATGGGCAAATAGTTAACTATTACCAGTAATACTTTTTGAAAAAAATATTACCAGCAATACAGTTTTGAAGGAAATATATTACCAAAAACAGATTTTTGACAAAACAAAATATTACCAGCAATAAAAATTTTTGTTGGCATTAAATAATCCATTGAGGTTGGTATGCCATAAAACAAAATAAACCAAACCAAACCAAACCAATGATATGCTATCTATCTATATATTAAATTCTGTGTCTTCTATTAGTCCATCCGTTTGACTATCTGACCAACATACCCTCTATAGCCATACATTGACCAATCAAAACCAAAATTTGGGGAGAAGAGCAAACAGGTAAAGGGGTACAAAGTACAGTTGGTTTTATTTGGATGCACAGCTTAGTACAATCAATTTTCATTCATTTTTAAAAGTTTTATTATTTAACATCCAAAATACTCACAGTATTTTAAAAACAATTTAATGATTAAAATAAGAAATATTTATTTAATAAAAATACATTATTGTTTTTTTCATATATTTTCTTTAAGTTTTTATATATATTTCATTCTGGTAAAAGATAATGCACTGTAAATCTAAACAAAGTAGGGAGAGTAGACGTTATAATCTCAACAAGAAATGTTAATGAGAACTTCAACAATACTAAATACCATGAGGATTTCAACACGCATAAGCATGTTGCAAAAAAATTCTTATATATAAAATTCTATAACTTCTGTTAATCTGTTATCTGTCACACCCTCTAAAATAGCCATACATTGACTGATCGAAATCAGATTTTGAGAAAAGGTGCAAACAGGTAAGGGGGTACAAACTAAAGTTGGTTTTACTAGAGTGCATAAAAAATGTGAAGTAGAGTTTTTGTATTTTTCCAAACTAATCAGTTCAAATTTCATTGACTGGTTTGTGAAATTGAATGAAATGTTGAGTTTTCAAATCTTGACAAAAATGTTAGCAATAACTTCAACAATACTAAAAACTATAAGAATTTTAACTAAAATTTTTAAAAAATTCTAGTCTAGTAAAGTGTAGTTAAGCAAAAACTGAAATGTGTAGTTAAAACATTACTAAGTTTTACACAAAGCACAGTTGTTCGGTATTGAATTATTCTTCTTTGACAATTATATATTACATATGACACAGATGTGAAACTTGAGTCAACCAATGAGATAAGACCATTGATCTATTGAATATATTACTATATTAGTTTAAAAGCCACCCTATTGGGCAGCATTTAAGCTAGCTCCTACAAACGACTTTTGATTGGGCTTTCATCACATTAGGTAGGGAGGAATAGATGCAATACACAACAATAAACTACAGAAGAACTCTAAATTGATCACTGCATTTAAGTATTACATTAATATTTAAGCTTACCTTTTAAAAGTTTAACAATAATTCTTCTGCTGCCACTTAATTTAAAGACAATTTGAAGTACGTAGGTCCTTACAAACAATTATTTTTATTTCATGGGTGACTTTCGCTGGATTTCACAATTAATTTTGATTATTCACAAATTTATTTCCAAGCTATAGAAATTGTTATCATACAAAAAACATTGTTGCAAAAAATCACAAAAAAAAAAAAAAATCGCAATAATGAAAACTTGGGAATCCAAAATTTCAGAATTGTGGGCCCAGATCCAGCCCAGAATGTTTGATATGTTGGCCTACAGCCTCTAGGAGTAAAGTTGAAAAAGTGTGACAGTGACATTTGCATTTATTATATAGAAGATGAGTTATTGAAAATTAGAGAGCTGTGTCCCTTTAATTGAAAAAGTGTGATACAGTGACACACTGACATTCACATTTATTATATAGATATGTCTTTCTGTTATTCCTTCACTCATCATCTTAGATAAAAATAAAAATATTTTTGAATGTTAATCTTTTTTAATTCTATGATTTATATAAAATGGTGTAGGTTCTGCACAATAATGGTGAACATACAGAGTTTTAAATTCTTGCAAAAATCCAATTTACAAGTATATAGAAAGAAAAGCTGTCTCTTCCTTTCACAATTTTGGAAGTAAATTCAGTGAAATTTTTGTAGTTGTGCTGGTCAAATTAAAAAAAAAAAATCAATTTTATTATTTACATCTTTGTTGTTGATATCACAATGTTTCAGACATTGTACCCTTTGGCCTTCATCAGGTCTATGAACCAGGTAACCTATAGGGAATTTCAAACTAAAGATTTTATTTAATCTATGAGGGTAGATTATTCTCATTCTGCTGACCATGTTTAGGGATATCTCATCTAGTTCTTATTTAGTACTGCTCAATTACTGCTCGCCTTGTTTTCACTGAGTCCAAGTACAAACTGCCTGGCCCAGGGATTGAACTTACAATTACTATGTCATCAATTTCATGAACCAATACTTTAATCTACTAGGCTATTTTCCCCTGGGACAATTCTGTGAACACCAACTAGACAAAATATCCCGAGACATTGGTAGTAGAACGAGAACAGTCTACCACTGTAGATTAAATAAAAAGTTCAGTTTGAAATTCCCTGTAGGTTACCTGGATCGATATACCCCTGATGAAAACCAAAGGCACAAGGACTGAACCATTGTGATAATAACAACAAAGATGAGGATAATAATCTGCATATAAATAATGATAACTCCTCATCCTAGAAATTCAGACAGAAAAAAATCAATTTTCATTTAATTCAACTTATAAACTATGAATATATATCATATATACAAAGGACACTCCAAAAATAATGACTCCTATTTATTTTCAAGGAATATACAACAGATCCAGGGAGCGCAATAATTGGGCAGAGCAAGTTTTCAGCTACAAAACACTATTTTTCCACATGGTCATCCTCAATGGCTATGCTTTTGAGGCATTCTTTATTTTGTGGGGTGACAGCTGTGCAGAGCCACCTGGAATATAGCTTGTCACCACTACTGAAAACATTACCCACATTCTAACTCTGCTCACATTGACTGTTTGGTCTCCATAAATATTCAGTCTGTGTTGATGAATATCAACAGGTACATTTTTTTTTTTTTTTTTGCATGGAGGAATTCAATAACATACCTTAGTTTTGTACATAGTTTTACTTTTATGTCAGACTTCATTTTGCTAAATTACTATTGGTAACAAGGCAACAATAATAATATATAGGTTACTGGCAGGAACATTCAACTTTACAGCCATACTTCCAACATCTCACATCATGAGCTGACATAATAAAATAGCAGGCATTACTTTCTTTTGGAGAGACCATCATGTGTATGTGTGTATCTGGGTAACAATCCTTCTTTTACATAAGTTTCATTAAAAACGACTGACAATATATATATATATACACACACACACATTAATTATATATGATGATGATGGAAAAAGATAAAAACATTTATAAAGGATTGTCCAGTGTCTAAACATTCAGTAGGTTGGAGTGAGGAGCTAAATTAATCCTGGAAAGATTTGGATTTGTAAATCCTGAAGTTAAGCCAGTTCAAGTTGGGTTTTGAAAACAAAAATGCATTTTTACTAAGTGCATCAATTTCTCTTTATTCTTCTTTTTTTAAAATTAATTTTTAATAATAATTTATTTTATTACCTTCTGATCAATAGAGAACTTGTTTTGTTTGGTAGCTATTTCTTATTTTACTAGCATTTTTAAGCTAATGTTTTTTTTTTATTTTGCTTTATTTAGTTGTGTAAATTTTTACATCACTGTCTAACTAAGCAAAGTTTTTATTGAACTTTTCTTTCACCTCAAAAATTCACAAATTGTTCAGTTCTTATGTTTGTCATGTTCATGTACCATGGAGAACTTAAGTTAAAAAAAATGTAATTCATTATTGACTTACAAAAAAATTACTGGTTGTTTTGCACTATTGTTTCTAGAGCAGGAAACAATATGACAGGCATGTTTCTATTTATGTTGACAATCAAGTTTATATTATTTTACTTATTATTTCAAATAAGCATCAATGTAGTTGTCATAATATTGTATCAACGTCAATAATAGTGTTAAAAAAAAAAAAAATTTGAAAAGCAATTGAATGGGTTTCCGCGGATAAAATTATGGAAGGCCTGGGTCGATTTCAACAAAACTTTATGCTTAAGTTTAAGCAATTTATTTTTCTTAGTTAAAACTTTAAGAATGACTTATGTGAAAGCAAAAAAATAAAAAAACAAGAAGCACTACAGGAATTTGAACCAGAGTCCCATGAAATGCAAAAATTCGCCTCTCATTCAACAATGAGGAAGTTAAAGTGAACAAATTAAATCAGAAAAAAAATGTTTGATTTTATGTTTAAAAAAGTTTGCTTTTTTTTTTTTTTTTAATAAACTAAACAATTAATAAAATTCCCAATCAGATAAGTCATATTTTCAACAAAGATAAAAAAATAAAGCACTCGAGTCTGTCCGAGTCATATATTTTATTATTATTTTGAATGTCAAGTGTTAAATTTTAAAACTAAAACTTAAAAAGTAAACAAGACTAACTCTAACCGCCTACCTCAATCGGTAGAGGTCTACGCTGGGCCTGACTTGACACTTCTATGAGAATATCCTTCTGTCGATCAGTTAGCTGGGCTTTGGGCTCAATATTGGTATCCCATAAACTTAGTTTTTCCCGTAAAGATTTCTGATCCAACAACTTAATAGACAATTCAGCCATTTTGATTCCGTCTGTTGACCGGTTTGCCACGTCACCGCAATCAAGCCGGAAATGACAGAGTAACGTCCCTTGCTACCCGGTTTCGTTTCCATAATTTTCTTTTCTTTTCAATACTAATGTTTAAAAACGAGTATAAGGAGAAAGATTAGATTGTATTTCCTGATGCCTGTGACTGTATAGAATACAACAGGCTTTTATTTGGAAGAAGTGTCATGATATGAAGCGACTATGTGTCATACTTATTTTCCGTTTAGTGGTATAATTGAAGACTTTCTGTCTGAATTTCTGGAATGAAGAATTATCATTATTTATGTTTTAAAATCGTAATGATATTCTCATCGTTGTTATACATTTACGGTCTGGCCTTCAGGCATTTGTCGATCCTGGTAACCTTCAGGAAGTTTCGAACAATCCTTTAGTTTTACTTTTAAGTTTTGTTTTGCCTAAGGATATCTACTTTTGTTCTTTTTTAGTAGTGTACTGTTAGAGACTTTCTAGTTCTCTTACTACTGTCATCTGGCTGCACAGGTTAAATAAATCAGTGAGAAAACGCATCCTTATCTCACTAAACTTTCTATTTTTGTATATTTGTTGTATCCTCTCAGCACACCCTCATTAAAAAAATAAAAAAAAAAACGGAAGAAGAAACTTCACTTTCCAGGACCAACGACTTAAAATTGATTCACCATAAAAAGGCCTAAAAAATTGACAAAATCAACAGCCTGTGACCAAGATACCTAGGATTAAAAAAAATCACAATTGTACATATGGGACTTTTTATACTATGGGTTTTTTTCTGAGTAGGTTCCCTTCAAATATATGGTACTAGCAGGAGAGCCCGGCATTGCCCGGGGATTTAACAGTAAGAGATAGATCAAGTATCGACCATCATAAAGACTGAAAAATAAAATTGACAAAGATTATTGTTTAGGGTTGACGGACACGCATGTCTTAATCATTTTTTTTTTGTTTTTTTTTACAAATTGGTCAAACTCAAACAAAAACATTGTTTTCAATCGTTATGAGTCTATCGATTGAATAGAATTTTATTATAAACAATTGTCTTGTAAATGGAATTTTTAAACATTCTGAATGTAAAAATAAAGAAAAAAGTGTGCAAGACAATAAGAAACACTACCTGCCAAAAAAAAGTGAAGTTTTGTTGAAATTGGTTGAAAAATGTAGGAAATCTGATCCCATATATAAACGAACACACAAACAACCTGGGTTTTATAATAAGTATAACTCGATATGAGTTGTCCCCCTTTCATTCTGGTGACAGAATCGTGTTTTATCGTGTTTTCAAATTGATTTTGTGCAAAAACAATTGTGGTTTTCCAATTTTTGGCGCTGTCAGAACCACCGCAAGGTAATTTTACGCAGTCCTGTGAAGTTTTGTTGAAATCGGTTGAAAAATGTAGGAAATCCGATCCAATATATAAACGTACAGACACACACGCACACACAATCTGCATTTTATAATAAGTAAGATTTTGGTAAATGATGATTTGGGTGTAGAAGAGTTCTTATGGTGAATGAGTTAATTGTAAGAATTGAATGTGTTGTGAATCAGATTAACTAGGTTTACGATAGTCAGTGACGACCAGCTTCTTCCCACTTCTCCTACAGCCTTGTGCCACAAATATGTATTTTCATGTTAAAGCCTATGATCAAACTGTAGTATCTGTTGCAGCAGCCGGCCTGCAGTTCCAACCATCCATCAGCAGCTCCAGCAGGCCTCTAGCTCCAACCAGCTATCCTTAACAGCAGCAGGACAAGACTTTTCAATGACTACAAAACTGTCATTTTCAGGACAACAATTCTCAATGTCTTCAAAACTGTCCTTTTCAGGACAACACTCTTCTTACATGGACATGCAGAGATATTTTTTGCCTAGTGGACTGTAACTTTATTTTTGTCTATATATTATCTTTAACAAAGATAAACATGGCAATAAATATATTTTTAACTCAAGTCTTTTTGTTTTGTTTCTTGATGTCTTCCATTATTCAATACCTGTTTGCGGATCAATATCCACCTACAACATATTCATTCTCTATCCACAAATAAGCTGTTTGTTAATGTATACACTATGATTTGAATCTCTCTAATTTGTTAATTTTTACAAATAACTCTTCTCCTCTTGTAGACTAAACTGAGGAATATGGTGCCACTGTGCTCAACAACAATAGGCATTGTTGATGTGGTTTCTTTGTAGAGTGAAAGGTTGTGTGGATGAAAATTTGGCCTTGTAAACATTTCAGGTCATTCACAAAGAAAAAAAAGAAAGCAAATAAAATGTAAATCCAAAATTTTTATTTTTATAGTCCAGAAGTTGAGGTGTTTTAAAAAAATTGTTTTTCTTTTTTTAGTTCAGTTTCTTTTTGAAGACAGTTGTACAACAAAAAATAGACGAGACACAGGAGATTTCTTACTGATGCCTCTACTTCAATAGATTGTTATTACACGCCAACTGCCTACGTTTTTTTTATTTATACCTGACACACAGATGTAGATGTAGACACAATGCATACAAATATTTAACAGAAAAATGCTCAAACCTGTTTGAAAGTGTGTTGCTTGAAGAGTACAAAATTTCTAATAATTTAATGACTATACATGCTTAAAAGCTGAAACTTTGCAGATTAATAATTTTTTATATGTTGTGTAATTTTTATCATTCTCCATAAGTTATAAGTCTTAAGTTGGTAGCCACTCAATAGGGATATCAGATTTTATTAATAAATTCCAATTAAAAAATAGATTTTTATTTTCTTTGAAATTAATCAATTAATAGAACATGTTCTAGTGTAACAGGGCACTGACTCAGTTTAAATATTTAATTGCGTGAGATTACAGAACAGTAATTTGGAGGGACGACTAATTGGATAATAATCATTCAAATTCTTATCTTCCTAAATGGGTTGTATTCATTCCATTTATATATATTGTAGCTGTTCTTCTCAATGTATTATCATAAATACAAAAGAGTAAATTTAAATTTATTTCAATCTTATAATAATTAACAGTTGCTTTTATAAATATTGTTGGTTCTGATATTGACTAGGAATGACTACAAAACACTTTCCCTTCCCCAATTTATAGACAGAAGCACACAAATGCATGCTGAGATTTCTTCCTAACTAATAAAATAGGCTGTTTCTCAGTTTCCGCTGACTCAGTCCCAGTCTGTCTTGTCTTGAAGTCAGAATGCTATGTTCACTTGTTCGAACTTGAGTCAATATCAGAACCAACAATATTTATAAAAGCAACTGTTAGTTAATTATTATAAGATTGAAATAAATTTACTCTTTTGTATTTATGATAACACATTGAGAAGAACAGCTACAATATATATAAATCTTTAACTTAAAAAAAATAATGTATAATGTAAATAAATTACACTTATAAATATTTAAGGGGCATTTTTAGTTACTTCTAAAATATTTCTAAATTAAAACGTAAATTATTGCCATAAGCACATTCAAGAAAGTACTATAGGATATAAAATCCTATATTTTACAACCAATAGGTGAAGCACAAATAAGTAAGAAATGCTCACACATAAATAGAATCAGAATAATTGAAACAAAAACATTTGTACAAATCAGCAAAAAAAAATAGGATCCCAAATTAAATGAGTGGTTTCTAGAATTTGATTGAGCAGTACAGTCACATGCTATGCTTCTGACTATGTCCGTACATTTGAATTCCAAATGACCTGGTCACTGGGTGCTATTCCTTGTAAAACAAAAAGCTTTCATTTGGAGCCTCTCACACAATGAGGATAACTATATATACACTGATTTTGGGGCAATAAAAATGCACACAGCAAAAACCCAGTCAGTAGCTGGACGTGGATCACAGGCAGTTGGATCTGTAGACACCCAAACAAAATTCTCTCATTATCATGACAACACCTCAGTCACTGACGACTACACACCATTCAAATGAACATTCACACAACTCAAAGAAATATTCATAGCCATGGAAAAAAGTTTTATCATCTATCTGTCTATCCATTTCCTTTTGAAAACCACTGTAATTTGACATATTAGCACTCACATACAAAATGTTTCTACTAATGTACTTCACACACACACATTCAGTCAGCAACCATGCACGCACTCCATTAAAATGTGCTACGGACACATGCACATATATACACACTTTATATTGATGAATTACTGCTTTTAAACTACAAATTTCCCATGATTTCTCTTGAACACTCATATCTGCTCAAAACGTATCTAAGCGTAAACAAGTGACATCATATATTATGAAATGGACTAAGTTCGACAATTATTTTAATATATTTATTGTTTATATGTTATTTTTATAGTAATTCAACCTTGTAACCAGACATTTCCTCTGTAGTTTAAATGGTATAGCACATCAGGCTATATGATGCTTCTGTGTAGGATACAGGTTTGGTTCCTGTCAGAGGATGCATATTTTCTATGAAATTTCTTGGACATTCAGGCCAGTAAATGTTGTTAATAGTGTTTATTATAAACAGAGCATTTATTTAAATATTTGTATCTATAAAAATATAGTATAAACAATAAATATATTAAAATAATTGTTAGACTGAGTTCATTTCATAATATAAATATTCATACCAAATATGTCTGGAAGGTTTTACAAATACATGAATGCACTGACTATCAGTGAAGTTTACACATTTGTAATAAAGTGGGTGTGTCTGGTAACATGAGATTTGAATCTTCATTGTTTAACATTACATTTTATTCAATTCTCGTCCAGTATGGTCATGACACACCCCATGGAGCCCCTGCTTTGATATGTAAACCTTAGATTCTCTGTTTACAGTGTATGAGAGACAGTCTCCAATGCTTTCTGGGATGTTTGTTTATATAACTGCATATCACATATCTTTCCAATTCCTGCAAAACAGACACAAATGTTACAAATTAGATCACTTTCTGATTTACTCTACATCAAAACTTGTTGGCTGGATGTGAATATTATGAAAGCAA